TAGTCAGTCTTGAATGTCCCGAGACCAAGAAATTACCAGGTCATGGTGATCCTTCGGCATTATGAATCGCCCCGGGGCTATCCCACCTCCGGATACATTTCAGTCCAGACGTACCATGTTCCGAATCAGCCTCCCTTTCTGCCTTTCATCCTGTTGAGCCTCATCTTTTCTCCCTCGTCTCGTCCAGGCTCCCGCGAGGCATCTTCCCTGCTGACGTGGCAGAGATCAAGTCGTCTTTGATTCGTTTTGTTATCTGCAATACAACGTCAGACGATCCCGCTACAGAAGGTGAACCAACGGCCTCAAAACCGAACAAAGCGGACTAGATCGGCCAATTCTGTCAACGTGAGGCTTATAAAACCAAGTAATTCACTCCTTCGTGCTCTTCTCGGCATGCACCCGTTGCTCTAGTTCTGACTGTTGTATGTTGGAAATGGCCCCCAACTCGCTGCTTTTAGGGTAGGTCGCTTGGCCTGATTGATTCTGACGAACGATTTCAGCTTTTTCCTTCCAAGCGAACCGTCGGTTTCGGCCGACATCTGCAATCGTCAGCGAATAATAGCTTGCATCGCTTCTTTGAACACTGCCACTTACAAAGAGCCTCTCTTTCAACCCGTGATTGTCCATGTCATCAACCTATCAGATCTCAAAGAATCCCATCATCTTTCCACGTCTCCAGTTATTGTCCTTTGTTGCCTAATCAACTGTAACGCTTCCTGCTGCACTTCACCCACCTTTCAACCCATCACTTCTGGCACAGCCTTTTTCGTGATGCATATTGTAACCGACTCGGTGCGGGAAGAGAGCGTAAAGCGGCGGCTTACAGGCCAAGATGCATGCACTGCACTTTCAGTATACTTTGCGCAATCCCGTGTGCAACACGGCGATGCTGCTGTTACCTGGTGATCATCAGCCAAACAGGTCACTGCGTCTCCGACAAAGGCGTCCAATCGATCTTTACAAAGAAGACGCCTTGAGAGGCTATATAGGACCCCAATATTTCCAATGCACTTTAGACATTCCAACTCTTGAAATTAATTCTTCACCTAAACATGAAGCCAACACCTCCTCCTCCTGGCCAGCAGCCGACTCCTGCTAAGCCAAAGCGTAAACCTCTGAACCCTCAAGCTCTTGTTTCCAAGTTCTGGTCAAAGTATCACTCCAAGGCACCAGGCAAGGTCACTTCCATCTTCCCTCAGAGCCTCTATGAGTCACTTCTCACAGACGCCGACTCGTCTAATCCCAAGTCTCGCAATGCAGCACAGAGCTATGAAGATGCTGCCAAAGAATGCCGTGCTCGAGTTAGAGCCATTGTTCGGGAATGTGAACGAACCAATGCCAAATTCAGCGACCCGGACTTTGATATTGAGACCGACTTTTCGTCTTACCAAGATAATTGTCTCAATGGTTTAATGGGGAGAGGGTTCGAGGAGGACAGCAGTGATGACGAACCACTGTCATCCGAGAGGGGACCTAAGATTCAGCGAATGAAGAAATATCGCAACACACGGAACAAGAGCGACGAGCTGGAAGACGATAAGCCTGATGTTAACAAGAATAACCTGCAAAGACGCATGTTTAGCGGCAGAGACTATGGTTCTCGATACTCCAGACCAGGCTCAGTCCATCGCATTCCATGGATCTTCGAAAATCCTCAGTTTACAGTTGGCGGCTTTTCCAGCACAGACATCAAGCAAGGTGCTGGCGGCGACTGCTGGTGGTTAGCGGCTCTCGCAACTATCGCTCATCGCAAAGACTTGATGAGGAAGATTTGTGTCGCAAAAGATGAAGAATGTGGTGTCTACGGCTTTGTCTTCAACCGCGACGGAGAGTGGATCTCAACTGTGGTTGATGATAACCTCTACCTGAAGCACAAGGACTTTGGAGAAGATACTGAAGTCTACGATGCGACGGGTAAGAAAGCTCGACTTTACAAGAAGCAGAAGCAAACCGGTTCCGAGTCTCTGTACTTTGCGAAGTGTGAGGACCCTAATGAGACTTGGCTGCCCTTGCTTGAGAAAGCTGTAAGTTGTCCCTTTGAGATACTCAAGACAAAAACTGACGATTTCAGTTTGCCAAGGTTCATGGTGACTATCATGCTTTGGATGGTGGGTGGTCTGGCACTGCAGTCGAAGATCTCACAGGCGGCGTCAATACCGTAGTCGCTGGTAATAGAGTCCTTCGCAAAGAAAGACTGTGGCGTGAAATGTTGGGATCTGACGGCGAGGATGGAGAATTCGTCTTTGGTCTGTCTGCCGGTGGCCCAGGAGAGGACCATAACAACGGAATTGTGTTACGACATGCATACTCGATTCTCAAGGTGGCCGAAGTCGAAGACGAAGATGGCAACAAAGTGCGCTTGGTCAAGATTCGGTAAATATGACTTGCAGTTTTGCTTTGCTCAGACAACTAACACGTACAGAAACCCCTGGGGGCAGAAATCTGAAGATGGCCATGGCGAGTGGCATGGTCCATGGTCGGATGGATCCAAACAATGGACTCCTCACATGATTCGAAAGCTTCAGCATCAGTTTGGCGACGATGGAATTTTCTGGATGTCTTTCAACGACATGCTAGATAACTTCAAGTGGATGTACAGAACTCGTCTTTTTGATGAGCGATGGACGGTAGCTCAACAATGGACTAGTGTCAGCATCTCTTGGCTTACCGGCTACCTCAAGAAGAAGTTCATCATCGAGGTCAAAGAAGAGGGCATGGTGGTTATTGTGCTCTCACAGGTACGTTGTTCATTGATCAACTCAACGCAGACTGACAGTCGTAGCTCGATGAACGTTACTTCAAAGACTTGAAGGGGCAATACGAATTTGTCCTGCACTTTCTGCTCAAGACGGCTGATGACAAGACATCCATTTGCTCGGTTCGTCCGGTCCATAAGTGGGATCGACGTTCGATCAATTGCGAGGTCGAACTCGAGCCAGGTACATATGAAGTTATCCCAAAAATCACAGCCGAGAGATATTACTGGCTTCCGACTGTCCAAAAGATGGTCAAGATGGGAGCCGACAGTAATCCTCAGAAGCTACGCCAGATCGGTCTGCAGTATGATCTCGCGCATGCCAAGGGCGGAATCGTTGATGAAGATGAGGCCCTCCGCAAGAAGAAAGAACTCGAGAAGAAGAAGAAACTCAAGGGCAAGAAGCAAGAAAAGAAGAAGAAACAGATGGCAGAAGCTATGGCCAGTATGGAGGCGGCGATGGTGCAGATGAGGAATGAGTATAATCGGTCACTCAACGAGAAGGACACTGAAAGGGAGAAGACCAAGAAAGAGAAAGAAAAGGAAAAAGAGGAGCCTGAACCAAAGAAGGAGGATGAGGAAGAGCCCGTCAAGAAAGAGGATGATACTGGAGCAAAATCAGATAAGGCGCCGCCTGGATTTTGGCCAGAAGATTCTTCCAAGAGTGATTTGGAAGCCTTGACTCTTGGTGAAACACCAACCGAGCCAAAGGAGGACCCGTCTTCACTTGATACGAGCCAAGGAACCGAAGACAAGAGAAGAGGATCTGCAGATGCATCCACCAGATATTCATCTGCCGACCACAGAGGCCCTCCAACTTTCGCAAACTCACCAATGTCATCACGAGATCACAGTCCCCAACACAGCAGAAGAACAACCATGCAAAGCATAGACACAAACCCCGTCTTCACGCCTCGCACAGAGCCAACCTCGGAATCGGATCTCGACAGCTCAGACTCATCGTCCGTGTCCTCGTCAGAACCAGACGATAGCTCCTCAAGCTCAGACGACGATATACTACCCACTTCGCTGCTTCAACGACTCAAGAAGAAGAAGAAACAGCCGTGGAATGCCGTGTGCGTGATCGGCCTCCGCGTCTACGCTCAGCACGCGGGCATCAAGGTCCGTCTCGCTGATCAGAGGGGCGATGAGGCCACCGAGCTCGTGCCTCCGAAGGGCAGCCCTGCTAGTTCGTGAGCTAGAAAAAAGGAATATGCCGCTTGATATACCGTTGTTGCCAAGATTGTCTAACGTTGCGAGTCGTGAGACGTGGTGTTTGTTTTGATGACGGATGTTTATATGTGTATTCCACGAATGGGAGAATTTATTCGTTCGAGAGCAACAAATAGGATTCAACAGCACTCTTCTCAGTCATGTTTTTAGCATAGCGGTTTTACTTGTCATATATCATAAGGAATGAATACTTTGACTTCTTTTTTCCTCTCCTCGCTAAGTTTCAGTGTGGATAGCACTATTCCTCGAACTGAGTTATACCCGAGACGCAATTTAACTACAACGCAGCCCGAGTCAGAACATGATCAGTTGATAGAAAACGAAAATGGCTTTGACAATCCAATCAATCAAGTTTATTTACTACATGATCTACAGCCCGTGGTATCTCCATGCGTTCCACATTGACTACTACTTCGGATTTGCCTACCGTCAAACAAAAGAAAACGTGCGGCCCATTGTTTCTCAGCGAAACTGAGCGTACAAATGAGCCCCGAACTAGCATAAAAAGCGTCCACCAAATCTTAGTGCTAAAATGACTCGTTCTTTTTGTCAGCTCCAAACTTCAGACGCCGTTTCAACCGCACGGCCCAAACCGCTGTTTCATCTGTCGTCGTCCCGTTTCACCATCCAGGCTCACCCCTACCAAGTTACCCTTGAGATTTACATGACCGATCTACGAGATGGTACGCGGCCAGGGTTGGTGAGTAATGGCTTGACAGAAGAATGATCTGAGGGAAGGCTCACCGTCGTGAGAGATTGATAACACTCGGAAGCCTTTCCAACTCGGGAAGACCTTGCGGATGAGGTACGAGGTTTGGATGAATCTATCACGATGCAGGGTTGTTCAAGAAGAGGTTCGAGCGTTGGAGTTGAGAACATATAAGCAGGATAGAAGTCGTCGATAGAGTCGAAATCAGATCAACTCAGCTCAGCAACTTTGCATTCATTCGCTTTTTCCTTTTCATTCGCTTCTAAACAACTCCTTTCTTTTAAAAACTTGACCTCATTCATCATGTTCTCCAAGTCTGTTCTCATCGCCCTGGTGCCCTTTGCAGTGGCTGGTCCCATTGCTCCTCGACAGGGTCTTGGTTCTGGCCTCGGTTCTGGCCTTGGCTCTGGTATTCCCAGCTTTGGACTTCCCAGCTCTGGCGGCGACTCTACTGGTGGGCTCCCCAGCATTCCCAGCATCCCAAGCCTAGGCTCTGGAGGTTCAACTGGAGGACTTCCCAGTATTCCAGGCCTAGGCTCTGGTGGTTCATCTGGAGGTATTCCTAGCATTCCAGGTCTGCCCAGCTCTGGAGGCTCAACCGGTGGTCTTCCCAGTCTCCCTATCGGAGGTGGTGGCTCAAGCTTCCTCCCAGGAGGCTCTACTGGTGGAGACACCACAGGAGACACTTCTGGAGATACCTCCGGCAGCGCTTCAACCAGCGCTCCCGCTTCTCAACCCACGGGCTCTAGCGAGATTCCCCGTGCTGAGGGTGGTTCATCCACCTCTCCCTTCGGCAGCTTCCTTGGATCTGCCGGTGGCAGCAGCGGCGGCTTCGGTGGTTCCACTCAGAACGGCCTCAGCGGCGACTGCAAGGACGTAACGGTTATCTTTGCCCGCGGTACCACTGAGATGGGCAACGTCGGCACTGCCGCCGGACCTCCTTTCTTCCAGGCTCTTGCTCAGCAGCTCGGAAGCGATAAGCTCGCTGTCCAGGGTGTTGAGTATGCCGCCAGTGTCGGTGGCATTATGCAAATGGGAGACCAGGCTGGTTCCCAGAAGATGTAAGTCAACGCTTCTTGAGCTCGTGAAGTCGCTTGTAACTAACATATACAGGGCGAGTCTTGTTAAGGAGGCTTATCAGAAGTGCCCCAAGACCAAGGTCGTCATGTCTGGATACTCACAGGGTGCTATGCTGGTTCACAACGCAGCCAAGTCTCTCCCCGCCGATACCACCAGCAAGATTGCTGCTGTTGTCAACTTTGGTGATCCTTGTAAGTCACTTTCAGCGTCCAACAAAACCTCAGAAACTAACAGCTCTATAGTCCAGCGACAGGCTATCCAGGGTGTTCCCTCTGACCGCGTCAAGATTATCTGCCATGCTGGGGACGGTGTCTGTGCTGGTACTGCTGCTATTACCCCTGACCACTTGACATACAGCCAGGATGCCAACACTGCTGCTCAGTTTGTTGTTAGCAAGGTCAAATAAATGACACGCTGACGGACCCAAAATCAGGAGATGAGGGGAATGACATAATGGAAATATGGCTGGAGCAGAGCTTCGGGCGTGGATAGGTTTAAAATTCTCCTGTATCTTTTAAAGTTGCTTTAGTATGAGTACAACTGATTATTTCTCTTGTGAGACCTTGTACTGCCAAAACATGATACGGTAATACCAACCTTCGAAATACCTAAAGCTGCGATGACAATCGTGAGACTTTGTCAGGAAACAACTAAAGACATCAAGTCGATAAAGGTTTTGAGAGCAGAGAACGTCCAAATCAATAACATGCTTGCCTGTGTTTATAGGGTGGGTTGAAAGTCTCGAGGAGGTATACACTCACTCTCTTGCCTAACATCAACACCAGCTGGACAGAGACAGAAGCGATCGTGGTCCAAGGCCAATAAATTAGGGATACATATTGTAAAGCTTAAGAGGGTCTGGAGTATGAACCTTGGTTTTATTGTGGTTCTGGGAAGTTGAGTTTATGTTCGAGCGGACTCTCAGATTTGCGATATATATCAGAACAATGGGACGGCTTTCAGTAAAACCGGGGATATGGTGTAGGGGAATCACGTTCGCTTTGCATTGTTTCGAATGCTTGCGAAAGGTCGGGGGTTCAAATCCCTCTGTCTCCAATCTTTTGCCAGATTGCGGTGTTTTTTGCCCCAGGCGTCCTAATGGCTCTACTTTTAGTCACGTTACCTCCATAGACGTCTCTTGGTTAGCCAAATACATAGCCATCCCAGTTGGTCTTGTTCTCTTGCACTGTGACTTCAGTAAGGTTCCAGTTTGGAGACCATCTCAAATGTGGATATGAATAACGGCTGGAAGAAGCGGCAGCTGCTTAACAGAACGTGGGGGCTATTTAGAGGAGCAATAAGGCAAACTGAACAAGACCAATGCATCTAATAAGCCATTCTATTCTGGAACCAATACGTGCAACAAGTCTTGGCTCGTCTCTTCTTAAAGTTCGAGAACGTCACTGCCAAACCTCGTCCCTACATCCATATACCGTCCATAAGCGCCTGTAACCATCAAACCAGTCAAAGCATCAATAATCCTTCTTTGTCAATGACAAGTCAGCCATGCCGTGTTGCTGCATGTGATTGACAAGCCAGGGGGTGCTGCATTTGGAGAAGCAGACACGTGCCGCCCCAAGCCATGAATGAATGAATCATGTGTCCCGCATGAACAAAGCTCACATTCCATTTCGTTTCCGGACGATTACCTATTAGCTTTTGCTTTCAGCTGATGTGCCATGCATAGTTGGAGTTTACGACGGGAGAGGCTTGAGACCTCGTGAGCAAGGAAAAAAAGACTTGGCATTTGTATGATAGTTTCTTGTGTCTCATAATACGTAAGTTGTAGATTGTTGTATCGATTTCTAGAATGTCATGTTCTTAATATTCCCCATGTCAGCGACGTCATACTCAATGCGGCCCCCACAGATGAACCATGGATTGAAAAGTCCCCCGCGTTTATCCCCGGAGTTTGGAGACGACACTTTCACATGTAAATAAAATATAGTGAGTGCTACGCTACCAAAACATGTCACGAGTCACGAGTCGTCATCTCACTTCGGCCTTTGGACCGAATTGAGCTTGGAATGATCCATTGTTTGCTCGAGAATTGGCCTTTGCCTCTGTTGTTCATGTATCTATCCAATGGCTTTTGACTTTTGCTCTCTCTTATCCTCTTCTCCTCTTCTCATTGATGATATTCTTGTGGACGTGAAACACCCCAAACACTCGGTATCATACTACAGACCGTTGCACTTATCGACTTATAACGGCCAACTCACGATAAGGCTCTCGTAACCCTGTCCTGTCCTAGTCCCACCACCGAGGATATCGAGTCGTGTGTGTTACAGGGCCTTTTTTTCTTTCATGTGAACGACCATCAATTTATCCGAGAGACCCTACGACACGACACGACACGACACCATGTGTCCGCGCTCTAATTGATTTCCTTTGTTTCTTTGCTGATCTTGCATACTTCGTCGGCATTACCAAATAAAACACATACCCAGACTTGGTCTACTCAGCATGATAGACCACGTCTTAGGACGGCCTTCAGTCAAGTCTCGACGGCTCCAGGTCCTCGCAGTCTTGACTTTTTGGTCTGCCTATTTAGTAAAGTAAACATTCCACCTATGAATATGCGCCCGGAATACTAACACACTTACAGAGGCCACAAACATGGCCCTCCCGGCGCTCAGTTGCTCTCGAGACTATTCTCTAAGCGCCTGACAGCATGGCAAACCGTCGTGATAACGATGATCTACTTGTACGCCGCCCGAAACTTCAGCACCCTAGTCGGACTCGCGAGCCCAGAGCCCTTGGCCAATATGTACGACGCAACATACTACCGAGCTACATGGGTCCTGACTGCGCTGGACGCTGGCTTCTGGACGGCCATGAAGATCAAGACGAAATGGTTGCGCGATATGGCGAGCATTGTCTTCTCGCTCTTCTACCTCGTGGCTGCTGAGAAGGCAGACGAAAAGGTCCGAAAGGTCCGGGGTATGATTACTGTTGAACATCTGCGAGTGTCCTGGAATAAGGGCACCTCGCCGTATTTGAGTTTCTTTCAAGGACTCATGCGACCTCGTTTCATGCGATGGCCTCCAAGACAGATTCGAATTCCACGGCCTGCCGATAGCGACTACAAAGAGCCTGTACTTGCGTGGCTGTACTACGATGGCCCTTTGTCAGATCTTCACCGTCACGATAGACTGATTCTCGATATCCCGGGTGGTGGCTTCGTTGCCATGGATCCTCGCTGTAACGATGACAAGCTGTTCTCATGGGCTGCCAAGTCAGCGTTGCCAATTCTAAGTCTCGACTACAAGAAGGCACCTGAGTTCCCGTATCCATATGCACTGAATGAGTGCTTCGATGTTTACAGAACTATTGTAAACACCAAAGGTCGATGCATAGGTCTGCCAGGCACCGAAGTCCCTCGAATCATCGTCACTGGTGATAGTGCTGGAGGAAACCTGGCGGTTGCTTCAACATTGATGATAATGGAGACGAGACATTCCGCGTTCCGCAGACCAGGCCAAACAGAACTACCAGCTCCTGATGGACTTGTGTGCTTTTATCCAGCTTTGGATATGAACATCGGCAACTGGATGACAGATGAGCAGATGTCTTTGATCAAAGACCGAAAGGCGAGGAAAACGAACAGAAGAATTATGCGACGCAAGAGCATGCAGTACAATGAGCTCGTGGGAACTCCCCATCACTCTGACGACGAAGAAGATGGATCACCGCCACCGCATACCAAGCTGAGCGCTTTGACAACGAAAGAGGCCTTGATTGCGGCTTCTCAAGGACCTAGAAGTCCACACCCTGAGTTCTCTCATGTTGGTCCCCGATCATTGAGCTTCCCGAAAGATGTCTCTGAGACCGACGAGAAAAAGCCATCTCATCATCCTGAGCCGATGAAGACGCGACTAGCCACTTCATCGATGATCTCTTACTTCAACGACCGAGTCCTCACGCCTGAAATGATGAGAGCCATGATTATCTTGTACATCGGCGCTCATAACCGACCTGATTTTAGCCAGGACTATCTTCTCAGTCCCGTGCTGGCCCCAGAAGCGCTGCTCGTCGACTTTCCCAAGACATACTTTATGACTGGAGAGCGAGATCCTCTGGTCGATGATACGGTCATCTTTGCAGGACGACTTCGCCGTGCCAAAGAGGCTGCATTTGTTCAGGAACAGTCGGAGAGACACCAGAACGCCGAGTTCAATGATAGAGACGCAGCTGAGGTGATGCTGATTCCTGGAACGTCCCATGGCTTCATGCAGTTCCCAACTGTGTATCCTCCTGCTTGGCGACACTTTGAGAGATGTATCGATTGGTTCGATCAACTCTTCGACCACGCAGAAGTCATGCGCGTTCGTAAAGACAGACAAGCCCGAGCCGCCAGGTCCCAGACCAACGGCTTCGGAATCAACGGCGACGGTCGTCACCACATGCGCACTGAATCCAGCGAAGAAGACCGACCCCTCGAGATCAGCATGACAAAGATGAACCAGCGACGCAGCTCCAACCAGACAACACCCCAGCAGAGCCCCGACCTCAACGGCGGCAGTGAAAGCGGCGACACGACGCCACGAGCGCACACCAACGGAACGTCTTTATCAAACGGCGATAAGAACGCCAAGAGACGCAAGAGTGTGGGTCTGAGCAAGAGCAAGAATAGAAACAAGAGCCTTGTCAAGCTCAAGAGTTCTGATGATCTGCTGGGGAGACGTATGCAGGGACTTGCGAGCGGGTTGACGGGGATGGGCGATGACGACTAGAGTATCCGTACGTACATACATACATACAGCTCGGAAGGGACGGGATCTTGCATTGAGATGGATAGTGCATGGTGATGTGGGTTTCGTCGCATAAAGCGAGATGAGTTGCATCGCGAGGTTGCATTTTGCGTTGGTTTGTAAGTTGGAGTACACAATGAGGGTACATATGTTTTCTGTAGTTGATTCTTACGAAGATATGACTGTTTGTAGATACACATAGGACACCCTTATTAGAATGTTTTGTACAACTTGCGGCCTGGAGTGAGGTGTCATGAGGATCAACAAGACTGGGACTGCCTGGTCAACCAAGCTGCAATGCATCGAATTTCTAGAAGACCGCCCAAAGTCACTGACCATCGTCTCGAAATAGTAAGACGGGACAAAACGGATCGGTCAAGCCTGGATCGCGGATATTGAATCCCGGCGGACCGTCGCGCTGTGGGCCTGGTTAACGCAAGTTACTCCTGAGGCGCTGTGGCTGGAAGCATTGCCTTCAAGATGTTGGTTGACGTTAATAATGAAGAGTATGCAGTGTCATCGCTTATTCACTACTGCTGAACTGCGTAAAGGTGCTCTAATCGCTGACAAAGTGGCCAATATAGCCTGAAATGCCTTCAAAATGATTTCAGAACGACACAACATTAACGCCTCAGCCTGCGACGCCCACCGACAAAAGTGAAGCCATTCGAAGCATTGTCTGCGTCTAGAAGAAACAGGGCTCAAAAGGGGGCGGACGGACCGTGTCTGCGTCAGTGCTCTCAGTCTCGGTGAGCACAACACGCAACATATGATAGACCCCACGAAATTGGGCGGGAGTTGGGCCGATTGGATTATGAGCAAGGATTCAGCTTTCAATCCGGGGATGTTGGGCTTTGAGGAATAAGAAAGAACACGCCACTTGGACGACAGAAGTCAGGTTACTTGGGGTGAGAAAGCAGCTCACGGAGAAACCGTACAGGGACCCCTTTTTGGGGGATTATTCTTCACGGATAGAGAGGCATAAATGATACGTGTGTTTTGAGGAGAGTTTTGTCGATCGTTTAGAGCTCGTAATGCTTACCAGTAGACGTGTAGTTTTCTACGGGTCTAGATGGCCTCATATGAAACGATACATAGTGGATAATGCTGTAACAAAGACTAGACATGGTGAGCAGAGGGGAGCGAGCCCAGCCTTCTTGGCTGATCTCTCGGCATAATAGCCTAGAGTACTCGCTAATCAAGTACCTATAAGTGCCCGTTTCAACCTCAAGTCTCAGCCTCTGGTAAAAGAGAGTGAAGCAATTCTTTTCTTTACGGAACTCGGCCGTGAATGTGGGTCTGGAGGCCCGTCTCACCGGCCGGTAACCTCCGTGATTGGACCGCGCTTGTTGGCCGGGCTGCCGTCGCGACATTTCCCATTCTATTCAGCCCTGTAAATATCAAGGAAGTAGTAAACAGGAAGATTTTGACCATAAGGGTCATGGCGATGATGGAAAGAGGAAGGTAGAAAGATAGAAAGGATATTGCTAGTAACCCAAGTTCTCGAATTTACCCGGTAAAATTGTGCCTTTCTATCGCTGAGAACAATATTGATGCCCGAGCAGGGGGCTTACATGGTAATGCTGCAAGTCATTACAGAGCCCTTGTCCTCTACGAATTTCGATAATCTTCACGGAATGACTGGAATCGAGTTCTTGTGGCCAAAATATGGGGGCAAACAACATGAGGCGCAAGATATGTGTGCCCATAATCAAGATCAAGAGACGATGGAGTGAGTTTGGGGGTTCAACGCCCGCAATACTATCCAACATCCATATCGAGGTGAGAACAGCAATAATTAGAGCACATCGTAAAACAAGGCACACCGACTTTACCTGGGGAAATACCATGCTACGTTAACTCACCTACATCGTCCCAGAAAAGGGCCAGCAAATAGGATCAAGTTCCCCCCAGAACCTGCACCCCAAAGAACTAGGATATCTGTCCGTCCGATCTGCTTCAGAAGAAAAAACACCGCAACCCCTTTCCCACGGAGACTGACCGTCTGTGTTTTGCAAAAAAGGGAACATCATCAGATGCTTCAACCCTGGCCCGGAGACCAGAACCCGAAAACCGCGTGTTATTTCTCTCGGCTTCACGTCACCGAATCGACACTGACCGAGTTACCCAATGTGGTAACAGGGGGCCTGCTGCTGCAAGGTGAGCTGACCTTGACTTGTTTGCGTTACGCCTGAGACAGAAAAATCGTCGCTGGGTTACTTATTTCGGTCTACGTGAGGCCGCCCGCAAAACAAAAGAACTTGGCCAGAATGAACTGGTAATTTTAATAAAGTCTATGAGGGATATATACAGCCAATGCTAGAGGCCAGAGCGGTAGGTGTCGGTGTAAGTCAAAGAAACGAGACTCCCCAGTATCACCGAAAAAAGAAGCAGGGGGGGATAGCGCAAAGGTGAGTGAGCGAGCGAGCGAGCCAGGAATCGTCATCATCATGCCCGGACAAAAAGTCCCAATAATAGGAGAAAAGCGGATGAAAACGGGGTCGTTGATCATGTAGTTGTCAGGTATCTTTCTGGCGTGTTTCTGACTGCGCTGGTACTGAGGACAATACGATGCTGGGATCGGGATCATCAACAGGGCAGTGCTTGTAAAGTTACAGAAGCCTCAGGTACCAGAACCACGTTGGGCCGTTGACCTTGATTTACGGATAGCTACCTATGAACTAAGGTATGCGCGCGGGCTCCCGTTTGAGGTGCCGGATTTCCATGCTTGTAAATTTGGAGGCATTTATTTTATTCACGTCCTCATGAGAATTGCTTAAAAAGTCGGTGGCTCTGCCTCGTTGAGAGTTCTTTTGTTTCCTCTCGATTCCACTCGTATCCCTTCTATTGCATCACTCATACATAACCATCCGTCTCTTATATCCATCCATTCTCTGGGTTTTCATCTGTCATCCCCCCATAAACAACTCCTCTTGTATTACACGTCCTTTCCCCTTCACGCTAAGGAACAGCTTCAGCTCTCAAACACCAAAGATTATTGCCGAGCTTCCCGTTCTACCCCTCCACTGAACCTTCACGGCTGCGGCTTGCCGTCATCGTCACTGTAGCTCTAACCAACTAAAACGGCCACGTCCAAAGACGCGCCACGCATACCAAACACTCACTACACTATACGAAAGCAAGCAAGGAAAAACCGGCAGCTCCCGTTTTTCCCTTTTCGGCCTATTACATTAGACTTTGTGTGTGATATCTACTGCCTATATCAAGAGCTACCCCTCTTCCCCCAACTCTTCCATCATGAGTCTCGTACAACATTCATCAAGTGAGGCTGCCTCACCTGTTCCCATCATCGAGACAGACGACCAAGGAAGACCCGTAAAGTCAAGTACAAACGGCTACTTCCCCTCCAACGGCCAACATCTCCCTTCTTCTGCCAACGGAACTGTTACTCCTTCGTTCATCGACAACATGTCTCACCTCTCTGTTGTCCGTGGGAGAGACGACTCTGACGCTGCGTCTATCCGCTCCACGAGCTCTCGCACCTCGAGAAAGCCTCAGATGCAGCTTGCGAGCTACCAGGATGAGTTCACCACCAGCGTCTACGGCTCTCGCTTTGCGGGCATGGACCTCCCCAGGCATCATATGCCTGAGAATGAGATGCCCCGCGACATTGCCTATCGCATGATCAAGGATGATCTGAGTCTCGACAACAACCCCATGCTCAAGTAAGTTTCCTTTGCCTCCACTTCCAAGAGCCAAAAACAGCTGCTAACAGCTATTTCACTAGCTTGGCATCATTTGTCACTACTTACATGGTACGTAATCAATCCATATGCGTCGTTTGCCAAGCCCGCCCACAGCGGAGACGAACCATTTCTTGGCTCTGGGGATGACAGCTCGCTCTGTGCAACACCAGCGCAAGCACTAAATTACCCCGCCACCATATCTCTGAATAGCTTCACTAACACCCACAACAGGAAGATGAAGCCGAAAAGCTCATGGCCGAGTCCTTCTCCAAAAACTTCATCGATTACGAGGAGTACCCTCAATCCGCCGACATTCAGAACCGCTGTGTCAACATGATCGGTGATCTCTTCCACGCTCCTCCCGGCGAATCAGTCGGTACATCTACAGTTGGTTCATCAGAAGCCATCATGCTTGCTGTCCTGGCCATGAAGAAGCGCTGGAAGAACCGCAGACAAGCTGAGGGGAAGAGCACCGAGCACCCCAACATTGTCATGTCATCTGCTGTGCAGGTCTGTTGGGAAAAGGCCACTCGATATTTCGAGATTGATGAGAAGCTCGTCTACTGCACTCCTGATCGATTCGTAATGGATCCTGACGAGGCTGTTGATCTGTGTGATGAGAACACCATTGGTATGTGCGCTATTCTCGGAACCACCTACACTGGTGAGTACGAGGATATCAAGGCCATCAATGATCTCCTTGTTGAGCGAAATCTCGACGTCCCCATCCACGTCGATGCTGCCAGTGGCGGTTTTGTCGCACCTTTCGTGGTCCCTGACCTAGAATGGGATTTCCGATGTGAAAAGGTCGTCTCCATCAACGTCTCAGGCCACAAGTACGGTCTTGTGTATCCTGGTGTTGGTTGGGTTATCTGGCGATCTCCCGAGTATCTTCCCCAAGAGCTCGTCTTCAACATCAACTACCTCGGAGCCGACCAATCCTCTTTCACTCTTAACTTCTCCAAGGGTGCATCGCAGGTCATTGGTCAGTACTACCAGCTCATCCGTCTCGGAAAGCATGGTTACCGTGCTATCATGAGCAACCTCACCCGCACTGCCGACTACCTCACAGAAACCCTTGAGAACTTGGGTTTCGTCATCATGTCAGAACGATCTGGAGCTGGTCTCCCCCTCGTTGCCTTCCGCTTCAAGACTGTTGAAGAGGGCGGTGATCCTGATCGCTACTACGACGAGTTTGCTCTCGCTCACCACCTCCGTTCTCGGGGCTGGGTCGTCCCTGCTTACACCATGGCTCCCAACTCTGGTGTCAAGATGTTGCGAGTTGTTGTCCGAGAGGACTTCACAAAGAGTCGATGTGACCAGCTCATCTGCGATGTCAAGCTGTGCCATGGTCTTCTCAAGGAGACAGACCAGGAGTCTATCAAGAAGCGCGAGGAGTACATCAGGAATCACATTTCTGCCATGGGTCGTGGAAAGCATGCCCACCCTGTTTACAAGGTAAGTAATCTATGTTCTTTGGCAATTGTTCATCAGCTAACATATCCCAGGGCGAGTCGCATTCTCTCCAGGGCAAGACTGGCAAGACACATGCTATTTGCTAGATTTACATAGACGGATATAGGATATAGGATATCGGGGATGTTTGGCGTTGAGCGTGTCATGTGCGTTTTATATACGGACACAGGCCATCAATTGATTTGAATCGACATTCTAACATGCTATTTCCCATTACTTTGTGATTTCCAATCGTAACACGTTTATATTCATACCAACTCCAGTGACTTAACTTAACTCTTCTATTTAATTTTTAAGTGCCATTCGTCTCATCTTCATATTTACGGCAATCGCAAAACGTAAATCAGTATATGGTATCTAGCCTTTTGTCTAGTCTCGCTCTCGTCTTAACATCAAACACTTTTAACCAGTAATCATAAACACCCAACTCTATCTTTATCGAGTAGCAGCAATGGCAGCCTCCACAATATCCAATCCCTGGTTGATCTCCTCATCTGTAACAGTCAAGCTCGGCACAAATCGCAAAGTGTTGACGCCAGCACTAATGATGAGCAGTCCCCGCTCACGGGCAGCCTTGATAATGGCTGTAGGATCCTCAGACAACTGGAGGCCTAGAATCAGACCTCGTCCACGGACCTCTGTGACAAGATCGGGATATTGGCTCTGGAGCTTGGCGAAGCGCTCCTTGAAGATCTCGGACTTGGCGCGAACGTCGGCTTGGAGCTGCTTGTCGGAGAGACGACCGACAATGTAGTGCGCTAGACGACAAGCAAGAGGGTTTCCGCCAAATGTGGTACCGTGGTCACCAACCTTCATCTTATCAGATACATCCTGCGTAACAAGCACAGCGCCAATGGGGAAACCATTTCCGAGAGCCTTGGCTGTTGTGAGGACATCGGGATGAGCCTCCTTGGGCAAGTTACCGTGAGCCCAAAGAGTTCCTGTTCGACCGAGACCAGACTGAATCTCATCGTAGATAAGGACAGCACCGACCTCACGACATCGCTTCGCAAGCGCAGCAAGGAACTCCTCAGTCGCAGGAGTAACGCCACCCTCGCCCTGAATAGGCTCAACAATAACACCGCATGTCTTCTCAGTGACCAAATCATTGATTCCAGCAATATCGTTGTAATTTCCCGTCTTGAAGCCAGGGACCATGGGCGAAAAGGGCTTCTGGTACTTAGGGTTCGGTGTCGCGGACAAGCTGCCCATAGTTCGGCCGTGGAAACCATTGTTGAAAGAGACGATCTCGACTTTCTCGCCCGAGGGATCGACGACCTTTCCGGCTTTGCGGGCGAACTTGATAGCGGCTTCGTTGGCTTCGGAGCCGGAGTTGCAGACGAAGACTGAGGCTGCATTGTGCATGGCACCTGACTCGAGGGTTTTTTCGATGAGGAGTTTGGAGAGGGCGCCCGTCCATGGGTTGTAGTAGAGGTTGGAGGCGTGGACGAGAGTTTGGGCCTTTAATTGACCGTTAGCAACTCAATTCCACCATCTAAACTATATTTTTCTTACCTGCTCGCTCAAGATTCGAGTAAACTCAGGATCGCAATGACCGAGGCCATTGACAGCGATACCGGCTGTAAAGTCCAAGAACTTTCGGTCCTCAGCATCCCACAACCACGAACCCTTTCCCTTGACAAACACGGGCGGAGGACGGGCATATGTGGCGACCATATAAGGCGCATGCTCGTTCACAATGGCAGCGCTCTTGGAATCGGACGCGACGTCGGCATTTGGTAGCGAAGCGAAACTTCGGCGGACGATGCGAGGGCGGGCGACGGCAGCGCAGGACGCCAATCGAGCTCGGAGGGGGAGTCGCAGAGCCATTGCGATTATGTATTATTAAGTAAGAAGAGGATACGGAAAAGAGAGAAAATGCGAGGTTGAGTGAGTGTAATTGCGTTATGAGGGGAAAGAGAGAGAATATTTGTGATTCTTATCTTATCAATCGCCTCCGCTATCGCAGTTCGGTTTTGACACTAAAAACTTTATTCGAGTCACTTCCCTGCCCAAAAAGGATCCAATATGGAGACATTTTGACTCAAACAATGGAATCATATTTAATCCTTGTTAATTTACTATAAATTTCATATTGAGAAACCCTTTCAAGGCGCGCCCTTGCCGTATCATCTTGATATTCAGAGACCGATGCTTTCCAAACTGAGTCACCGCATGAATACTCATTGGCGGGATTGATGTGCATCTGCATTTCGGGTGAAACTCTGGAGACCTGTCATAGTTTTTGATCTGGTGAGTCTCGTAGCAAACGTATGGTACCCAGGCAGTCTCCTATAGTTGAGGCTAGTTTGCGTCACTGGGTAAAGTGTAACTCTCATCAAATTATCACGTCTTCAAATCGCTTGCGCCCCCTTTATACTGAAGCTTTATGTATATGAAAGCTCATTTTGTGATAAGTTATTACTAATATATGGTGCCCTGATGACACTATCATATGTGATATGTGTATTTTGAGCAAGCGGTTTGTGTAAATTCTAGGCAATATGTTGAGACGAGCCATAGACACGACATGTCATCTCTGGAGTCTTGACACTATCAACAAAGTACTCCAATCTTTCCCCAAGTAAGGAATTGAGAAACATGTCTCAGACATATGCAGTTTGTCAATAGTCGTGTTTTGTCTTGAGGCGACTCCGATCTTAACATTCCAACGGATGAAACATGAACATCCAACTGCATAGAATCCTTCAGCTCGCAAACAATACACCGGATCATCTATTCACCAAATAGAGGTCATATTAGAGAGGAAATAATGTAAGAGCCACTCCGCCCAGTTGATTCTTTAGCAGTGCCCCCGTTTCACCAGCCAGCCAAACCCGACACCAACATCCAGCGGCATTCCAGTCCATATCCTATAATTAACGCCCGTTATACAGCCTTATCACTACATCCAATCAAGTCTAGAACCGTTGTGCAGCCATATACGAGACCTCTCCCATGTGAGCGTAGATCCCTGGATCGTGCACCGCTGGAGGAGTAAAGATTCACGCCACCGGTGGTCGCAGCCTTACCAACGCGTTTGATAAATCCTCCATCGACGATCCCGATGAGTTTGGTCATACAAGTGTCACCTACCTAATCGACGCAAGATACAATACCCGAAGTGTAGAACAGTATCCCCCCATCTGGTCAAATCATGGCGTCCAATACTCACACCGACTATACTTGGCGTTGTTCTCCTCGGCGCCCGAAGACCTGACTGGAGTCACACTCGGCCTGATTCGCACCGATCCGAGAAAGTTGTTTGTTTGTTGTAGATCTAGACTTTTGATGGCGATATGTCTGCATGGGTTGAGGGAACAAAGAGGGTGTTGTGCAATTAGCGTATGGCCCAAAGACTTGGAACTGGGAAACCTGAACCAGGGTGTCTAAAAGCATAATGGCTACACACGACCACGGTCATTCGGAGATTCCAGAAACATTTCTGTTGGTTCGTAATCTGGGGCGTGATATACTTCAGCTTGTGTCTTTGGCCTCAGGTACAGAAGTCTATTAACAAAGCTACACACTTTAGACTTGCCGTCTCCTGAAGAACTATATACTTAGCTTAGACGTTGTAAAGTCAAATAAAAGCGTGACGGTTATTAGGATCGCACAGACGAACGTTTCTCGCCGTATGGCCATGTTATCAGCAAAAGATGGTCCAACCCCAAATGCGTACGCCACCAACCCCTTCGCCCCCTATAATATGCGAGACATAACGACGTAAGAAAAGGGCGTCAGAGAAGGCTGTACAAGCCTAGGCGTTGCTGATGAACTATTGACAACCTCCAAGGTATCGCCGGATCTAGAATGTCTGTTGGGTTGTTCACAAGTGAGGGCATCGCCGTGTACACCCACTCCTTTAGAAAAGGGAACCAACTGCATATATGTCTTTCCAACAATATCGAACTCTATCTAGAATCCTGTGTAACGACAAACATGACGATTCTTCGACTTCATTGGGTATTCGAGTCTTTTTTGGGTATGTGTGGCTCGAAAATTCGCTAGATCATGGTCTTGGAGGCATTATTCATGTGATAAGTGATGCAGCTGGGAATGTGATATGGCGAGTTTGGTAGTCCAGGCCTTTGGGCTTATTCACAGTTGAGGTTGGTGGTGGAGAGACTCGCCGAGACCTGAGGTTGATCATGATGAATGTGTTTGGAGTTGAGAAGTTCTATCGTGAAGTTGTATAAGTGGGAGTGATGGCCAGACGAAAGGAGAGGTTCATCAGAGCAACTATCACATCATCTCTTACACCATTATCTCTCTATCTCTCTTCTTATATCATTGATTAGCGTTGATTCAACTCAACATGTCTTCTATCCTCCAGTCTCAGGCCTTCACCTACCTCACCATCAATCTCATTCCCACCTTCATACTCTTCTCCGTAGCCGTCTACATTCTCCCAGCACTGACTCGCCGTCTTCTGCAATTCCTTTCGTCTCCAAGCTCCCTTAAGGAGAAGCCTTCCATCAATGACACCCCTTCCATCTCCAATCTCCCCCGCCTGTCCGGCGTTGTTCCCTGGTTGGGTCATCTCTTTGGCCTGACCATCGACAGCACTCGCTACATCAACCGTCTGATCAAATCCACCACTGCACCAATCTTCACAATCAACATCCCCTTTGCCCGAATCACTGTCTGTCATCCCAGCATGGATCGAGTTCTCTCTCGTCATGTCAATGACACTGGCCTCGCTCAAGTTCTTGTCTATGTTGGCCCTCGCCTCTTTGGTCTCAAGGAGGAGACCATCAAGGCAGTGTTCGGCTACAACCCTCAGCCTCTGCACAAGCAAAAGTTTGGACACGCCGAGAACATTGTGTCCCTCAATCAGCGCTCAAGTAACAACATTAGGGAGCGTGTGATGAAGATGCCCGAGACGAATGAAGTTCTTGTTGGACGTTGGGTATTTGAGTTGGCTGTTTCTGCGACAGCGAGTGCAGTCTGGGGAGTTGCCAACCCCTGGAGTATGGATCAAGACTTTTCCAATGAGTTCATGTAAGTTCTACCCAAATGTATTTGACGGAAAATACTAAAAGACTTTAGGAAACTCAGCGAGACGTTCGATACTCTTGGACGGCCCTTCGCTTGGCTTACAGCACACTCAGCCTGGAATTCTCGCAAGTACCTCCTGACCAGACTTCGCAAATTCCATCTCGAGCACCGGGAAGCCCGTGTTCAAACTACAGCTCACAGCATCAATGTCGTGGCCCACAGTGATCCCAACTGGGAGAACAACCCAGACTACTATCATATTGAGATGGTCTCAGCTCTAGGCCTCCTCGCAACCACTAGCACTCTTGCAGTCTGGCTCACACGCCACTTGCTGACGGACTCAGAGTTGATAAAGGTTATTCTCAACGAGGTGCAACAGCTCAAACATGTTGAAGGGGAAGACAAGCCGCGTCTGGACTTTGCCAATGTTCGTACTGAATGCCCATGGTTGATGGCATCTTGGTACGAGACTCTCCGTCTTCACATGACAGGAGTCGCTCGAATCGCTCGCCATGATTTCATGCTGAACCTCCCCGACTCGGATCCCATTGCCGTTCCTCAAGGAGAGATCTTCATGCTCCCAATGTGTGCATCCAACTTGGACGTTGACAATTGGGGTCCTGATGCCCCGTCCTTCAAAGCTTCTCGGTTCATCAACAAAGCGGGTGAAGTCTCCGGAAGTGCTGTTCGCAAAGTCAGAGCTTTTGGAGTTGCGGGTAATATGTGTCCTGGTCGCGTGTTTGGTACTGATATCGTCTTTTCTGTTGTTGCCACTATGCTTCGAACATTTGACATTGAAGCTGCTCCTGGTGAGGAGTTTAGGGTGCCAACTCTGCGCGGAGGATTCAACGTTGGATTTGAGAGATACGGAGACGATGTCAAGGTGCTTCTTAGAAAGAAAGACATCGCTTAAAGAGGGTTTGGACTTGTATTGGAAGGGCTGGAGTAAGAAGCAGTCTCTCAAGATGAGTTACGAATGTGGGTGTCTAGGAGTTAAATTAATTCTAAATATATCAGGATCTTTAAATTATATTACTATTCGTCGCCATTCACTGCGTAACCTCAGTCCGGCATCCAACCACGTTAATACTTGTAGCCCAAGAACAGCATTGTCGGGTACTCGTAGCGTCGAAGGCGACCAGTCGAAAAATTGACATATGACACTACAACACTATCTTGACGTCGTTTCTAAAGCTCACTGGCTATGAGAGAATTATGTATGGCATCATGGTAAGACTCCTCCTCGTATCGCTTCTAATTGTCGTTGTAAGCGTACGGTGACTTTGGGTGGAAGACGAAGGAGATCTACTGCGCAATAAACTCAACGAAAATACACTCTTTCACCCACAAGTTTGTGTGGATTCTCCCCAAAACTAACAACCAGAGTTGCTTCATAAAACAAATAGTTAATGTGGTACAGAGCATAACGGGAAACGTCCCTGGTATTCACTATCTTTTCCGCTAATAAAGTAACTAGATCCTTTGGATATAACCAATAACTAAATCAAGTTCGAATCTCAAAGTCCGAACGTCGGACAAGAAGCCACCCATTTCCAATTGTTGGATGATTCAACGCCATCACCAACGCCAGTAAGGAGATGCCCTGATGTGCGTATCTTCCTTACAACCCCTTTTCCATATTAATCCCATCATATCCAGCTTAAGCACGACGAGCCTTCTCGCTGTATCCCTTGATGACAGTGGACAAGTCGCCAACGGGGATTTGGATGGGGAAGTCGACGATAGCGAAGAGGACAGCGATGAGGATGTACCAGCCAGACATGCATGTTACGAATCCAAAGGCACCACCAGCCTGAGACAAGTTAGTAAGAGGTCAGATGTGTAGTGTAAGGGAAGACATACCACGAGGAGCTTTTGTGCGAGCTTTGCATTTCCAGTGAAGTCATCGGCCAGAGCCCAGAAGGCAGCAGTGATCATCAAGAAGCAGAAGGTCAAGCTGAAGAAGATCATGACAAAGACGACGTTGGTTCGGAAAGCGCAGATGAGGAAGATGAAGGACAAGACACCCATGAAGAGCAGCCAGAAAGCTATTTATCGTTAGCAAAGGGTCATCAGCTAGGACAGTAAGATAGACTCACCAAGACTGGCGTTGAAACCTTGGGTAGCAAGACCCTCAGCAGAGGATGTGGCATCGGCGGGAGCATAAGAGGCGTAGGCAGCAAAAGCAGGGATGAGAGTGCCACCATAAGAGAACCAGAAACCGCCGAAGGAGCAGAAGACGCAGGCTGGGAAACTGTTGCCCAGGACCCATTCGAGAATACCACCGATGATCATGAGAAGACCACCCATGAAGACGTAGACGGCACTGTTACTATTGTTAGACGCGTTTATAGGGGATGTTAGGGGATTAAGACGTACTTTGAGGCAGCGCCACTGCCACCAGCGCCTCGCCAGCCCATGAGATCGCAGGTCAGGGGTGTGAAAGCGAGGAGGAAGCCAACAAGAGCACTGCAGTTGTTGTTAGTAATAGACTCCGGCATGGGGAGAGGTGATACGAGCGTACATAGGTGTAGGGTTTCCAAATGTCTGTCGAAGATCTCCCTTGACCTTGTTCATAGGCGAAAGGTAAAGCTTCTCAAACAACTCAGGGCTCATCTGAACACTCTGGGCAGTTCGCAACCTGTTCAGGCTCTCCAGGCGCTGAGCCTCAGGGTCGAAGCCATTAAGACCATCGTGCTTCTCGTTGAGTTGCTCGCTGTGCTCGGTGGTAGCGGCCATGATGGTGATTTCGTCCAGGATGGGAGATTGTTGGGAAGAGACTGATCTTTCTTAGTGAAAAGGAGAAGAGTCGCAATGGTATATAGAATCGAAATCAGATTCTGAGGTAGTGAAGAGGAGAGACAACAAAGTTAATGCAGATGCAGGGACAGGGACGGACTTATATCAGGCCATAGCTCCCCTAATATATATAAATTGCGAGCCAATACGGGGACATAAGCTCAAAAGCCAAGCCTGGTCCCCCAGATTGGCACGGAACAGGGGCGCCACCCTTTGATCCGGCCCCATGTTACATCTTTGGTTCATGTTGCTTTTGCTTTTGTTTCCCCAGGTCCTGTATGGACTGTCCACCCAGTCGCAGATCTCCACCACTAGGAGAAGAGGAACAACAACGGCATCTGAGCGTCAAGAAGATCAGCCCGCCTGTCCATCTAGAAGCACAAGTCCTGGGCCTGGTTGGCATTGGCGCCGTGTCATCCGAGTCAAGGCATGTCTTCGATTCATCAAAGCCACAGCAGGATTGGAGAAGGAGGCCTAACTCTCCGATTCGACGAGTCCTTCCTCAGTCTAACCTCTCGCAGCCTAAAGAGTGTAGCATCCTACCCCAGCTTGGCGTTGCGCATTTGCGTTGCGGGGGAGGAATTTAGATTGGCAACGCTAAGACCTTGAGTTGGAGTTCAAGTTCTCTACTAACCCCAGATGCCACCATCTCCACACGATCCCTTCGCCCGGCTGAGGGAGACAGGGACTAGGGAGGGAGCAGCCTCACCGTTGATGCATTTTTGTGCGGGGGGGATTCGTTTTGGGGGAGAGTAAATGTTCTACGCGTGTCAATTGCTAGTTGAGGATAGTCTAGATCGAGAGGCAAGATTGACTTTGGGTTATTCCCCGGCCAGCCGAGTTGCTGTGAGGGAAAGACATGGTGACTTAGACAAGATATGGGAGAACAGCACAACAGCACAACAGCGAGAACAGATCACTTACAAAACTGCAGTCTGGGGAAAGGATCGAAATGACCAACAAACGTGTATATTATTATGGATACGTATCAGAGATCACCGGGGCCCCGGACTGGTACTACCTCCGTGCATCTTAGAGTTGGGTTCGTGTTGGTGGTCTAAGAAGCAGAACTTCGGATCCGCTGCCAGATGAGTGGATATCACTATAGAATGGATGTACATGAGATTTACGGAGGAGGCCTATAAGGTTACTGTAGTGGTGTAGGGGCAACGTGGCAGGGTACGTATAAGTCAGTGTCTGGCATCAGAAAGCTTTTGTTGATGGGTCGATTATGATGCGTGCCAGTCTAGTTGGGCTGACAGAGGAGACAAGACCGGCTGTCGAGAAGGCGTTTAACCTCTGTATGGCAGCATAACAGTTAGTTACACGTTGTAACGGTCGTTGACTGACTCGAGAAATGTAACCCTCTTCTCCAATTCAGCACTTGATATGCTGTGTCTCTGCCAACAATGGATCGAAGAGCATCTCAACAGTCAAAGCACAATTCAGCTTTGACTGTCACCTGATTCCACTCTCAACACAAAAGTCCATTGATCGTCACGTCCAAGCCCAAGAACGTCCGGAGTCTGAGTTTGAACAACTCCCTTTTCCCCATTGCCCCAGATTCTGATCCCTTTGACCCCCCTGCAACGCCCTGAGATGAGGGGAAACAATGGTTGACTGCGGCTCCGTGGTTTAGTCTTACGCTAAATCGCGGTTCCGCTTTTTAGTGAGGTCGCTAAAAATACGGTACTTGCAGTGCTGTATTTCCGGGGTTGTCGGAAGAACAAAAGACCGAGACGCGTCATCTCATTGGTCGGTGAATAACAACCAACTCACGCCGTCATTGATGGCATTTGGCCCACAAGTTCCATGTTATCAACTCGACTCGATCATGATGATTTACACATTCAATCGCCGTTTTATAACCTCATCGTGATTACAAGACTCAATGGCTTTGTCTCCTAATAAAAGGGCTCATCATTATCGATAAATGATCCATCATGGCTTGCTCTGGTCCCTGACGTTTTGCTGTTTATGGTATTGACTTACACGTCTATGCTGTCATCATGAGTAGCCCATCCGTCATGGCTGTGTCAACGACGTCACAGACAGAGACAGTAGAAAACAAACAGAAGGGAGAAATCCATTCTCTTCACCAAACATTGTCCAATTGATCTCATCTGACCTCTAACTATTGCTCTAAAACGCATCAATTCTAAACACTCTAACATCACTCACGTCTCAAAAACCCCATCAAGATGAAGGCAGTTTTCGGTGCTGGCCAACAAGGTTCCGCTGCAGTTCCCATCATTTCAGGCGTAGCAGCTCTCGGTGCAGGTGTCTACTATCTAGGCAGATCCAAGCCCGGGACCACACCTGAGCAAGACCGCAGGGGTCGCGCGGAGGCCAAAAAGGCCGAAGGACTCAGCGGCGCCGGCATTGGAGGAAATGCCGTCACAGGCGGCCACGAGCTTAGCCACGTCAACTCGAACCGCAAAGAGGGCACCACAGCACCTCCCGAGAAGCTTCCCAGCGGTGGAGTAGGCGGCGGAGTTGGCGCTGGCGGCTCCAACGTTCGAACTTCAGTTGAGATGTCTGCCAAAGACCAGCCCGGTACATCGAGCACTTCCCATGGCAGTGGAATGTTGCAGGGCTTGTTTGGCACTGGAGGATCGAAAGCTGGTGACGGGTCTGGAAAGGAGACCAAGGATACGAGAGTGGCTAGCAACTACGATGGCACACCAACCAAGAGAGACGCGACGAAGCACGACCAACACCAGCCTAGAGTGGACAAATCAGGTGGCGGCGACGACAGCAATAACAAGGGTGGTAGCAGCAGCAGCAAGAATACCAATGACCAGTCAGCTTCACAATCCCTCCAGGGCGCTTTTGGACAGGGAGGAGGCAATGTCGCTGAGCGCGGTGATCAGAGCCAAGGCTTCCGTGATCCCCGAGTTGCGAGCAACCATACCGAGACGACGACCAAGAAACATGCCAACTAGGAAGAGATGCTCAAGTAGTCATAGCAGGAGTTTCTTAAAAATGAGCAAGTTTTACCGAGTTGCCTCGTCGGCATAATCTCCTGAAAGTCAAGGATGTCAAATCTAGAATCCTTTCGTGAAACAGGCACGTTTAGTGAGACCTAGCAACGCCATGATACTGTGCCTAGCAACATAATCCAATCTCCCGTGAGCGCATAGTTGAGTTGTTGAGCTGAAGTGACCTGCATCGCATAGCCAAGCCTCTCCCCATCATCTTCCAAGACCCATGTCCCAAGACGATCAACAAAACGTTACTAGATCTGATCTGATCTCATGTGAAAATGGAGAAAGAGAAAAAAAAGCAGTGACTGCAACTTGAGCGACCAATAGAAGAATGTCACCTCCACGCCCTCCGTGTCTCCGGATCTACCCCAGATTGCAAGTCCCGTTTCCCCAGACCATCCACCATCTGCCGTGTCAAACACCTCCAGCCTGAGTATTCTGTCTGGAGAACCACCATTTTCCCGGGAACTTTTGCTCAATACTTGGTGGGTACGTCCAGAAGATGAGGAATGCAATGACTTTGTTGAGGATTCGAGCTGGCCTTGATTGATTTGGCATGTAGCGGCGCCAGAGCTTGTATTCGGAGACAAGGAGGGTGTTTCCAAGGACGTTGATGAAACGAAATAGCCTGCTCTGTTAGTGTGATTCTTTTGTTGTCGGCATTTGGACTTACATGTTGCAAGCAATGAAAAAGATTGTTGCAATGTCTGCTGCTCGAACTCCCTCGGATCTTATCCCCATGGTCCTAACAACACCTGTAAGGGGCGGAATCCAAAGCCCAAAAATACTCATTTCTAAGAGTAAAGACCAGTGATAAGTTCTCATCTCTGTGCCCCTTACCATACTCAAGCAGAATACCCAACACGCCATGAGAAAGTTGACCTACGCCCGTCAGCACAACACTCTACTCTTACATTCACTCGCTTACCACTGTAGGTCCAAGAACCAGCTTCTCCTTTTTGTAATACTTCCAACACAGCGACGCTGCTGCAATGGTAATCGTACTCTGCGCACAGCCAACCAAAAAGTAGTACAGCAGTATCATCCGATATCGCCTGTAGCACACACGATGAAACTCATACTCTTTCCACGCCGCATCCGACGTAACAGGAAACCCACAATATCGACATACACAAACAGTCGCAAACGTTCCGAGGGTATATATACGGCCCACGACGAAACCTCCTCGCGAAGAAACGCAGTCGAGACACTCGTTGGCCAGAGGATATCTCGCGTCAGACTCATCGGCGTGAATGAGATGATCTCTCATCGCGTCGTAGCGAAGACAGCGAAAACATGTTGAGAGCAGTTCGAATTTGATGCTGGGGAAGACTTCGCGTATGAAAGATTTGTTGATTGTATAGCGAAGGAGACGACATGTTCGTCGTAGAGACTCGACCTCGCCGAATGTGAGATGCTGTAGGATCATGAGCTGGAGTTCTGCTGGGAGTCGAAGAAGTTCATTTTCGGTATTGACAGCATTCAAGCTATTATCGCCCTTTGCCAGTTCGTGGAAGAGTTGCGGCGCTGTCTTCTTCTGAACATCTTCCTCATCACCGCTTGTCGAAGGTGCCTTTGTGTTGTTGTTGTCATCACTGATGGGCACAGCCTCACCACAAAACTGCTCTCGCAAGTGATCGAGCGCTCTCACAGAAATCATTTCAACTCAAGTTTCCGCATCGCCAGTTCCCATAATGAATATTGCAAGGATTACTTTCCTGCGAAAAGGTCATCGCAGAATCTACATACACACGCAAGAGATCCGACCTTTATCAACTCTCGTCAGCTCCAACCCATCTTTAGGGCTTCTGCTGACGATTATGGGTGTTTCTGACACTGAGGCCGAATATTACTCGTGAAGGAGTGTCGGATAAGCAGAGCTCGGAGTCTCCAATACAGTCAGCAGACGCGCTTACTGTCGTAAACACCACCATTTCCACTGTTCAAAGAGCTTAATACTTTATTTTATCTAGCATACCTGGGCTTTTGCCGAGAGGTACTTGATTTAGTGCTGAGTAACACTCTTCTTCGTGGTGTTGACCCAGGTTAGTTGGTAGATGCTGGTTGGTTTACAAGAGACTTGGTCTGCTTGTAAGAGAGGCACAGCATGATCATCGTCATCTTAGCATTTTCTACTCTATTTCAAAACTTAATTATATGAATATGGGATGAACATTCATGTTGGTAATCATAAGGAGCAGTGCAGTGTGCGCCTTAGTCCAGGCGCTGAACAGTATCCTAAATCCATCAACGTGAGGACTTGAGACGCGATAACTTTCTTTTTTCGCGTCCTTCGCTCCAGTACAAATGCTTCTCCTCAAAAGATGTTCTTCTGAGTCTTGATAGCCAATCTGCTATGTGTCACTCAGTAAGTTTGCGCGTGTGTTGAGTCTGATCAAAACGGTTTCAGTGATACAATCGCTCAGTTGCGAATGATGATCAACCAGAACTTCACGATCAGCAACATGCAAATTCGATGCCCAAATTCACATTAATATAGTTTGAGCAAATCAGTAGATTAATCTTGCAGCATATACAAAGCATGTGGCGGAGGTCGACAGCCGAAGCTGTGTTAGTCTAGGGTAGTTATCAAGGAAAGTTGGCAGCGATAACTGTCTCCTGCACATTTCCGTGTCGCGTCTGATAATGTGGCATCTATCTGATTGTTTAATCCGTTGCAGTTTTATCTAGATATCAGTTTGGTGGAAGACGCGTCATAAAGGCCCGAGTGGCCTCGAGTGTCGGAGGTTTCGGCGTCCACAAGATCACCAACATTGGAGAGTGCCAAATCAAATGAACACAGGTTTTATTTGAGCTTGAAGTACATATTTCATTCTTTGTGACCTAGTATGCGTGTCATCTTTGCCCAGGTATATTTGCCTTTCTATGTATACCAGGTCTGATTTACATAATTAATAAGGATGATAGAATATACTCTCTTGTATTCAAGAACCATGGTATTAACCTCACCAGGTTCTAGACCATGTATTTCCAGCAGACGATTGAATTGCGGTTTACAATAAACAAGTGGGTTAGTCTTAAACTCCAAGAGGGCCGTATTCCAGTCATTGATGGACTCGCGCGACTTAGAATTGAGCACACGAGGAAGACCTAGATGGGCACTTAAGACACCTACGAGATGTCACCCTACGAGAGACTCTCATTCAGCTGGCAACTCTATATGATGGTAGCTCCAGCAATCCGTCCTGCGAAGAGATCCTTCTTCAAGTCAGCAAGCCTCTCCCCGAGGGGGTAATGACCCCATCCTTAGCAACGAGTTGTATTCTATCCTTTAACTATAGGTGCTACTGGACGGCCTCATTGCTGTACAAGAAATCTTCTATAATATTAGACATCTTACGGCATGTGAGGGGGCCTTGTTGTTAAAGTGGTGCAAGAAGCGTATATCGCATGCTGAAGCCCATGCACCTCGAAACATGAGAACTTGCTGAAAGCCTGTTGCCGAGATAGCTACTACCTCAAGCCGGGTATGTGGCATTCATTAATCGAAACAATTGCGGTTTCTTCCGTAGTGACCGGACTCAAGAGATCTTGATTCTAGAGCCATGGGAATAGGGCTGAATTAGGACTGACTTTGTTTTGGTCAACATTCACATCTAAGAGGTTAGCTAGGGAATACCTTTGTAATCTTCTCACCTTAACGATTCAAGCATATCTGCATGGAAGCTCAATTAGAGAGTAGAATCAAATGGTATGGGCAAGCCATGAGGTTACCGATAGCCATGGCTTCAAACTCGATAGACCAGTTGTGAAGAATCATCACAACTTGAAACTTCTAATTCACACGAGAAAGACTGTGTGATGAGTTTAGATGGCTACAATTATTGATCATGTTTGAGCAATCGATACCAGCCAAAACTTCCGGTTACATATATATATATATGTTACACCTATTTGGTGTTGATATTGAGCTTATAAGTCTTTAGAAGTTTCGTTCTTGTGAGCAAGTTATTTATGGCATTCAACTCTGTCCACATAGCTATTACATCGTGATATCATTGATTTAGAGGCCAATGCCATTCATACTATTTCATAGTATAATTTAGTTCTATATAGTTATCGTTGAGTCTCTTAGCCATGTCCCGTTTGCCTGGTAGCTATCCGCGTTAGGTATCCCATTGAACCCAAGAGTGCACCTTTTCTGTCAGGTATCTCTAACGATGTAGCCTATAACCATAGCCTTTTTTTAACCTTACTGCTATACTTTATTGAGTCTGACTGAATCGCAGCTAATGAATACCAAGTCTATTCCATTCTGTGGGAAATAACAAAGGTGGTATGTCGGATTCCGGGGATCTGACGGAAGCTGTAAAACTCCGGCGGACCGCAGGCCGGCCCGGAAAAAGACTGGAAAAGAACTCGGCACCGCGTCCGACGGTTTTTTTCTGATCTTTTGTTCCGTAAATGCAGTGCTTGAACATAATGACGAATTTACATGATGGCTCACTCATGTGGTGACTCAGCTTGGTATGACTTGGTATGACCCTTGCGTCGCGCGTGTGTTTATCCGGCCAGCAAGTAACAGGTTCAGTATAATATGCTGAGGATAGATCGACGGCTGTGGTAATGTAGTGGCTGCAACCAATTCTCTGAACAAATAACAAGAGATCATAACTATTGTTTTAGATATCTTAGTTAATTGCAAGGGGTCTTGAGATCGGCATCTCTTTTTGATGATCGCTTGCTGCTTGGTTGTGAGATCCACTGATCAGAGGTCTTGCTTGATATGTAGGAAACTAGGTACAATGCTCGATACGTCTCCAAACGATACCGGATACAGACAACTTAATAACTATTATCCTGAGGGTTGCAATTGGCCAAACTGATGTTGATATTCTGTCGCAACAACAGTAGATCACGAATGCTCTCACTTCCACGCCATATCGACTTTCTATATCTTGGTGTTACCCTATACAGTTCCACTGCCAATAACTATAGTTCATGTATTCTATACAATCGCCGTTGAATCTCTCAGCCTTGTGCCATTTCCAGAGCGCCCTAGGCGCCTCTCGGATTTCCTGTACGATAAAAGCCGCGGGCCGGGCGGACCTCAGCTCGGCCCCACACGGACGGGACCAAGGCTGACCTCTTTTTCTTTCTTTACGACCATTATGACGAATTTCTGAGATGCATGTGGCGTGATAACGCATATGAGGTGGCCCCTTAGCAGTCCGTGTGTTTTTCTAGTTCGTGTCTTAATGAATGACAGGTCATTCACAGCTCTGCAGGCCTTTGTGTAAGCTGATGGAAGAGTTTTTTGCCACCTCTTCCAAGTATCAGCAGAGGTTTACCGATCCGCCAAGGAGGAAATTTCGGCCTACTTTCCAAGGTATTGTCATCTCACGCGATATTGATCCTGTCTGCGTCCCAATGGTGCATTCCTCCCATGTGCGTTCGCCGAAGCTGCAGTATGCAAGAAATCAATAGCTTGACAACTCCCCCATGTCATGCCACGCTCTGCCAGGGATTAATAGCACCATAGTCCGTAGAGCTGCTGAAGATCTCGATGACAGCCGCATATTCTGCCCAGAAGAAGGAAAGGGAAGCACCGACAGACCCGAGAGTCCGGCTCACTAGACGACCATGCAAGGAACGGGAGTGTCCGTTCCCAACCCCTCGGGAGCAGCGGAGCTTTGCCATAGGTCCCCGATACGTGTGATCCCTGGACGTCAGGTAGCCACCTCCGTCGACACCAGGTTCAAAGTGCAGATGCCGCGGCGACGCCGACGCGCAATGCGACGCCCGTCGCCCTGCGTTCCGGCTGCGTGGAACAGGCCCTGGCAGCAAAACGAGGCGATGTTACACTGCAGAATTCCCCTTATTCTTCCTGCTGCAGAAATATTATCTAAAAGATTGTAATTATGCCCCATTGGAGGCTAGACTGTCCTGTAACGCACATTAGCTGGGCCTGCTTTCCAGGTCTACGGCGTTCTAGACCACCACAGCGCGAGACTGCAGTATGCACAGCCCGCACGAATGGGGACGCTTTTGTTTTGGCCCTGAGAGAAATGAAACCCAAGATAGATAGAGCAGAGACTGAACTGAAAGATAATTAAACCCTAATACTCGGCTTCATTCCAAATTGAGAAGTTCTTCCAGCCATTCGGGAAACCGTTCTGGTGAGGCTAACGTTTACGGCTCGGGTCGCTGCACTAGCGCCAAGAATGCACTGCTCGTATTGGGCCCCTACTCCTACCTGGGGCTCCGTTGCGAATAGCTTCAAAGCCGCCAAACTCTAACAATTACCGTGCCTTGTGCCTGTAGCCCGCTGCTTTTAGCCAAAAGGGGAGAGTTTGGTTCTAACCCAACGGTCAGATTCCTACTGTTAGCTAAGCTCGGGCCCTCTCTTTGCAACGCCCTCCAAGGACTGGTCAAGATCAACTCTCTGTGCCGTGTGCCACCAAACTCTATAATCAACCCGTCAAAGACATTCTTACCCACAGCGCAGAACATCTCCGTCCCCCCCCTGTTGCACATGCCCAAGGGTTCTTCTCTGTAAGGCAGGGAAAAGGGTTCATGGGTAGGCGAACTTTTTCCTGCCAGCTGAGGGTCCAGGCTCTAGTATGCATTGACGCAATGCAGTTAGGAACCCCTCTTTGGCATCATTTGCTATGAAGAGGCTGCCTATCTTGGACGACGCGTTGACTTGATGTTACTCGCTATACCTGTCAGCTTGCTAGTTAGTCTGTCTTGGAATCCATACCTCGGCTAGCAAGCGAATGTCCATCATCTCCTTAGTAAGGAATGTGGTCAGGTTCGAGCTGACTGTCAATATCCAGACTATGAGGGAATAAATCTGTATTGCATTGCATCAAAGCGCAACATAAGAGGAATTCGTCATAATCAAGTCAATCCAGAATACGAATTATGCATCCTGAAGAACCGACAGTTTCAGCGACGAGAGACATGACATTTGCCACCTGAGCTGGCGATCCCTGAATAAATGGCGATGTCCGGAGTTTCCTCATTCGGTGTACATCGGCCTACCTATGCTAACCACGTATTTCCCCATCAGATAATTGTGAAACTCAATGCCAAGTGCGCCGTTGACGATGTTCGGTCTCCTCTAGCCCAACGTCAAAACGAAAGTATCAAAAGTTTCAAGATCAGTTCCAGACACACAAACCTATCCTTTGACAGACTATTTGATAAAACAAAGTTTGAAGTGTCCGGAGTATTCCTCGCACAATTTCTTCGGGCAGTAGTTTAGACGTCCGGCTCATCTCCAATAGTCTGCGGTTTTGCTCCGTAGCGCCGCCCTCTGGTGAGTCGAAACCTCAAGCTTCCCAAGCCAGAATCCATGGGGTGGACCAGGCGGGCAGGTTCCGCTGGCAGACTCGCCTTGCAGCTTGAGGTATTTTGCCCTGCCTTGGAGTCGAAACTGTTTTAGCTCAGACAGCACGTCTTTCATCGTGTCAAGCTCGACCCTTGTGGGCTCTCTTATGGCGGCAGACCTATGCCGACAGGGCATGATCGCCATACACCATGCTGTGTGAAAGACGAGTGCCGAACAGGGGACGCCCGCACGTATTTGTGCAGGGGAGGCCGGTCCGATACGATCATGCACTTTGTAATGCAACGCCAGCTCTCGATAGTCTCGTAGCATGGGGTTGCTACTCTCGTTAGAGGCTGAGCCGACCCATACCTGGACCCTAGTGGACTTTCCATCCACCCAGACGTCTATATCCAGGTAGTCAGTCTCCAGGTCCTGCTCCCTTTGAGAAACGGAAAACTCCGTCTGATCCCGTTTGTGAGGGGGAGAGGTAGCTAGCTCTCGAACGGGCCGTGGGCGCCCGCTGGCCTCGTCATCAAAGAAACTGAACCCCTTATCGCCCGAGTTTAGCAGTTCCTCAGCATCTATTTCTCCTGCAGTATAGGCGTCACCCTCGTAAGCATCCTGCTCGAACTCGAGCCGGAAGTGACGGAGGCCGGCCAAGACGCTGGGACCCCGCCGAGATGACAGGTCAAAAAGCGCACGCTCCTGCGCAGAGAGAAGTTTTAGGAAGGAAATCAGTCTATTGATCAGCGGGCCACTCGAGCGTCGCGGAATATGTGTAAGGGTTAGTGAGGTGATGCGTGGGTTCATATCAGGGACAAATGGCTCGGGGAAGGCCATCTCAGCCCGCGGCAGTAGGATATTCTCAGCTATGTGCAGACAAGCCATGCTAGAGAATCCCTCAAGTTCCAATGTGGGAATTTGGGTCACTACTGAATGGTGTAGCTTGACTACCTGCAAGTTGGACGACAGCACGGGTCGTAGTGTATGTGTAGCATAAAAGCCATAGAGTTTAGCCGCCTTAGGCCACCACACTGCGGCCATAGTTTCTTTCAGAGGCGGAACAAGCATCATCGAGTCGCAGCTAAACTGCTCGAGGCGCCCACGGCACAGCGTAAGCAGCTTCATGACGCCGAGGGCTGAGACCCTGTTGCCAGAGACGTTGAGATGCGTAAGCCCCGGTAACGCTTGAAAGCTCGCTGGCGGGAAATAGGGGTCCTCGCCTTGGAGGCCCCGGCAAACGGCGTCCGCCGCATCTGATTTGACGGGGAACTTCCCGTCCAGTCGTTTAGACGCACATTCTTGGGGCAATGTATCGTGAAGATCATACAACGGCGCGTCGACAAAATGCCTGTTTGGGTGACTGAAAGAGGCACTCCATTCAGACTCAACAATGCGAATCCAAGTCCCAAAGTCAGGGATTGTGCATCCGAATTCCAGCTTACCCTCGACATCAAAGTTGGCGTCCGGGGGAGGATCGGCTGGTCGAAAACAATGAGCCCCGATACTATCGAGCGCCTGGTCTGTTAGCTTGTTGTTACTCAAGTCCAAGCTCCATAGACGAGTTCCGAATCGAGCGGTTAGATTCTCGACGGTGGTGTCGTCGACCTCCTTGCCTTGGATTTTCAGGAGACGTAGTTCAGGGAGCACATCGTCTTGGAATAAGGGACGGAGTGACCCCGAAGTGTACGATAGATCTAGATAGACAATTCCGCGAAGGGTGTTGATGAACTTGTTTGATAGTGACACGGGGCAACCGGCCATGGTGAGGAGTTGAATCCGATGGCCAACCTCTGCGAAGGATTCAGAAGGGTCAAGATCTTCATGGCCATCGATGAGAATACAGATTAGGTTTGGTAAGAACTTGACTGCATTCTTCAAGCTCGTATTGAGGTTGACACCCATGCTGAGAGAATATGTGCCCCTGATGGAGCGAGCATCAAAGACTCGAACAAGGCTCAACGTCTCGGATCTCAGCCGACTGACGCCGTTGAAAACAGAGTTCATCAACCAATCCAAATCTGATGAAACTAATCAGTTCCTGCTATGAGGACAAGAGACTAGGGCATTGTTCAGTTCGCGGCTCACCATGTTCTGCATCATCAAGACCGGTAACAATGTCTGAGCGTGGGATACGACTCCATATGCGCGGGGCAAAAACGTCCCAGTACCGGTGATTTACACCGCACAAGGCCGGATAGTCCTTGGGAGAGATGTAGGGAGCCACTAGGGGCAGCCAGTCGGGAGAGATGGCATCTTGGTAAGATGGAAGCGAAGCCATTGCGAGATTGCTAAGTCAGCCAGGTTCAGCATCGAGACAACCAGGCTCCGGGATCCCCGGGGTTTGCGTCGGTCGAGATAATCCGGGCCTCAACTCTGACGATCATGGCCATACAGTAAAAAGAGATAGAGAGAGAGAGACGGGAGTAAAAAGTGCTGACGCTCCGTTCCTCAGCTGGTTACTAGCACTGCATGTGCATGTTGCTGCTGGCAGGGCTGGCAGTGGAGATTGGTGATATGACATTACTCAGACGGCGATACTCCGCGGATTTGTCATTGGCTGTGGCACAGCAGCGAGTGCCAAGCGCACAGGCCTCTTTGTGAGCCTCTGTGGAGGCAGCCTGTTTTAACGGCTTATGCCAAGATCGGAGCTAAGTTACAGGGGGTCGATCAGGTACGTAAAGGTGAGGTGTGCACTGTATCAATAGCTTCTCTTAAACTGTCCATAGGACTTTCTATTCGTCATCAGTGACCTTCACAGCTGAATTAAGATTCAACTGGACTTACAGAGGAGAGGGTCTGTATCCTTGAACAGCTGTCAAGACTGCAGTTGATGTAACCCTGCGAGATTGATTAACAGGTGATTCCTCGGAAAACAGAGCTGTCACTGTAACTTCTCACAGCTCAACAGATTATTGCCTCTCGCATTGCAGTGCAGTGCAGTATCCGACGGCAGGCACTCTACCTGATTATATCCCCACAAAATGCCATGCAGGTCCTATCCCTGTCCCTGTCCCTGTCTTGCCTAGCAGACTTGCCAACCAATTCGACGCATTCTTTCCCCGCGATCTATCACATCTCTCAAAATACAGGCGCGCAAATACATGTGATACGTTCACCCGACGGAGGGGCTCCGCCTGTTACTGTATGGAGGCGTCGAATTACCCAGCCTAGGTACTTACTGCACTGTAGGCCAAGGTAATCGACATATGCAATCTAATGCACGGAATAGCACGTCCCCCATACCAAGATCATGTTGGTTTGTTTCTTTTTTTCGCTTCTCTTTTTGTATTTACGTACAGTAGCCTTCTAATCTCTTGCGTCATTGCCACCGCCGTGGTTCATCAAATCATGCTGTTCTGCACAACCGCCTCTTTTTGCATTCCTACGACAACAGTCTCAGAAGCAAAGAGAACTATCAACTCAACCATTTACTCATCCATTGCCTAACTAATTCATGCAACCCATGTCCAACTATTACTGATTTCTGGGCACAGAACCCGGCGTCGATCGCGGCCTTCACATATTACACCCGAAATCGCAATTCAGCTTGACAAGGCCTGTGTTTGATTATCTGATCTACATTGCATTCTCCATTTTGGCTGCAACCTCGTTTAGATAAGTAAACCGGCTGCGGGAACGAACCATGCAACGATCATTCATAGGCTGTTGTAGGTTCCCAAAGCATCTTCCGTCACACCCAATCGCAACAGGTAAACAGCCAAACACGAAATAGCCTCCACCGGTCCGTTCAAACTCTGTTTCGTTCTGACAAGTGCCGACCCAGGGAACAGAAAGAGACTTTCAGGGGTTCTTGGGCTCTACTTGCGACTAAGAACTGCACTGTAGATGAATTACTGTGTTGGGGAACCTCTGTGGAACCCCGCCAATCTCATCAAAGAAGCCATTCCCGTAACTCAATAGCCTCGACCCTAGTCTCCGCGCCGGCCTTGTCGTCAAACCGGCGTTTGTTACATATCCTTTATTCCCGTCTACGTGCTCTATGATAGACGTAATTGTCTCTCTCTCTGTCTCTTGGTCCAAGGGCATCACGGGGTCTAGGAGATGAATGGTGACATTAGCTCATGTAACTTGTCATTTTTTTTTTTGTATTGAGCTAACTATGGCGTAGTAATGGAGTTGAGTGCTGTCCATAGTCTGCTAGATAACAAAAGAATAAGGTCCATATCTTTTTAGAGTCTGCGGAGATCGCGGGCGTTTTGTCCCTGTTTCCTGTTCCTGAGCCTCCCTGAATCGAATCTATCGTGTCATGTTCCAGTAGCTTCTCGTCCCCTCCCATCTCACGTTGCACATCGGCGTCTCATCTCAGCTCATTCCAGGCACAAACGTCTCCTCGACGCCTCAAATCCCAAGGAAATGGGTCTGTGCAACAGTACAGAGTCTGTGGGAATCCGTCTAGGGGAGGAAATAAAAAACGACCCCTCTATGGGTGGAACACCAGCGAATTTTGGTGCATTTGGGGTCGTTTAATATTTCCCCCCGAGGTCCGTATCCGAGCTGCAAAACACATACGGCAAGAGAAAAAAAGGGTCCAAGGGTTTTGTGTCAGCCTTTAATTCAGCCACGGGCTGTTATCCACTGATATCGTATATAGTGAATCATCATATGAACCACGACCCAAGAGACACCACTAGACTCTCGAGATATTGGAGACACCCTGACACCCCATACAAGTGACCCCTAAACGCCTCAGTCAATACAATACATACTGTATTGGAGATCCCCTTCCCCTTGTCGGCACGGACTCGATCATGTTCAGCCTCATACAATGATCGACATTGATATCAGATCATATCATGGTCCCCTGTCTCTGTGCGAAATGTGAATGTGTGCATGTCATCATAATTCCCCAATTCTTTCTCTTCCCTACCCATCTCGTCCCAAACTAGTTGTACTTGTAAGGCGATTCTCACTCAAGACATGGCCGTAAACTGCCTGACCCAAGCCGCGATGGATGCAACTGGCTGCATACCTCTCCCTGAAGAGGACTTTTCCTCTGTCACTAATTTTATGTATTGGAACTATTTATGCAACCTTTCTGATGCTAAACAACCCCTTTGACACTCGGAAACTCTAATATTTTCTCCTTGAGGGTGTTGTTCTCTTCCGATGGTCTGCCTGTACGTGTTGGCATTATCTCCTCCAGTAGAGTCTTCCTCTCCACCACGGCCCGCGTAGTCTACAATGGGCCCCGGTCGAGTCCAAGAGAGCTCTTTTCCAAATGAGGAAATACCTCTATCCGCAGCTTTTGTCGAACTAACGTTAAATAGCAATCTACTCCGCTGCGGATCGTGTCCAATGGCCTTTGCCTATTACATGTCGTTGATGTTAGCATTCCTCGAGTCGGGAGGCAAAGACGGTTGACATTCCCTCTGCTACTATTGCAAATCAGAAACCGTTTGACATGTGTCTTTGTGCCACCCGCAATCTGAATCTTAATATTATTAGATCCAGGCTCTCAAAAAGTCTCTGGCCGGACCTAAAAGCTCCAATCACATCATCCTTCTCCCGTCTCAGCCACTACCGTTTGAGCCTCTTGTTAGCTCCGAATTATCATATATCACATCCGACGTCCATCGGAGTGTCCGCCGAGACCCCCAGAGCAACACACCACACCAATGCCTTGTCGACCCGTCTTTCTGTCTCTTTCATGTATGTACAGCACATCAAATCTGCCAGACCCAGAGCAGTGGGTGCTGCTACGCCGTATCTTGCCATCTTATCTCACCCATCTCATCCTAATCTAGCAGAAGCAATGAGCCTGTGCATGTACCTTGGCTCTGCTGGGACTAGGGTGCCAGGGTGACTCGCGGATCAGTAGGCTGTCCTACCCTGAGATCTGAGACATTATGGAGCTGTCTATCGGAAGCCAAACCATCCACCCCAACTCATCCACAGTCTCTTTCGCTCAACTGTCCGCCTGCCAGTCCGTGAAATGCTCCAATTCCGCTCTCGCTCTGCGCTCGGGCCAAGAAGTCCCGGAAACTCCAAAGCCTGCTGAAGCTGAAGTTTTCTCTGTCGGATGCTGTCTTTGTCATATCTGATATCTTTTGGTTTCCTGCTTTTCTGGGTATAGGCCATCTGAAAGCCTGCTTCTGACCACAAACTACATATCCCCAAGCCAATCAATCAACACGTGAATGCCTCCCATCCTTGCCCTGCACTATGTAATGCAATCTCCAGCTTTCTCTGTCTTGTCTCTCCACGAACAGGTACCACTATGTCCAGGCCAGCCGTGTTCCCAGCGCCAGCTCAAAAAAAGGAATTGCTAATCGATATGTCACTTGCATGGAGATCATTATGGAGAGAGTCATGACGAAGGTGTTCATTTGACAGAATTTCTTGTTTCATTATTTGCTGCTCCAATCCTACGTCCGCCACCATATTGTCCCAGCTATTCTTTGTCTAGAATGTGGGGGGTAATAGAAGAGAAAAGAATAGCTAACCAAAAAGTAAAGTAAGAGCGAATTCGACAAAATTCCTCAACACCGAGTAAAAGTAAAAGAACAAAGTAAAGCAGAAAGCCTCCCCCCAAAGAGTAGAAACGCCCTTGCACCTTTGAAGTGGACCTGGTTGTGTGATAACAACTCCATCATGCAAATGCCACCCAAGTAATAGTAAAGCCAAGTCAGGTCAAGTCAGGTAATCCTTTTCCGCGTCTTTTCTTCAGACATAGTAATCATACAGACCATTACACCCTCGTGTTTCCTGTAATTTCGTTTCCTTTCCAAAAGAGCTCACTTGCTTGAGTCTCTAGTGTAGCGGCGTAGACCAGATGACGGTCTGGCCGCAGAATTGCTGCAATTCCTTTCTTTTCCAGCTCCGCCTTTTCCGTATATGATAGTGTGTAGATGCGAATGTGTGTGGACGAGACAGACAGAATATGTAAGTGGTGTTTTTTTTAGTTTTTTTTAGGTATGTGTGTCTGAATGTGTGTGTGTGTATGAGTGTGTGTGTATCTCCCCAATCAAGTTGAGCGAGTGCGCGGGTCTTGGTCTTGTTCTGCGTGTCTCATACAAGTGGCGCCCTTTTGGGACTCGACTCTTCCCTGGTCTCATTATTCCACCAGTGGCGACTGACGGAGTTCTCAGGTAAGGTACCCGGGCCAAGATATATCCATCAGTAAAAGTAAAGGTAAAAGCAAAAGTAGGTAATGCCAAGCAGTCAATGACTGTGGAGGCTCAGCTTAGTATTCTGAGCCCCGCTTGTCAGCAATCTTGGACTTTGAGGGCGCTCTTCGCTTCCTGCTTCGCTCCTCTTGCTCAATAACAGGGACTGCAGCAGGGATGAACTCAACTCCGCGGTTGCGGCTGTTGGGTCGTGCGTGTAGCTTGCGGTGGTTGTTGAGGTTATCTTGGCGGTTGAACTGGTCCTTTCCACAGAACTCGCATGAGAAACGGTTAGGTCCTTCACCGTGGAAACTGCATATTGTCAGTGAAAATGTTCATTTTTTATGATTCTCAGTAAATACTCACGTTTGCTTGTGACGCTTGAGATGCTCGTTTCGTCGGAAGGCTTTGTGGCAACCAGGGTAGTCACACTTGCACATGGCTCTTCGGACAACATCAACTTGGGCAGAATCAGGCTTGATCGATCGCTTCCTCGATGATCGAATCTGAGCTCGCTGAAGTTCAGCACTCTTCTGTTGGATCTCGTGCACCATCAACTTCCTTTGAGCACGCATGCGGTTGGGAGAGTTGGGGTCATGAAGATGGTAACCAAGAGGTGACTGAGAGTGGCGGTCCATATCAAAAGTGTCAAAGTCACTTGAGAGCTGTCTGTTGGGGAAGAACGAGATGGGGCTATCGTTGGCACAAGACCATGATGAGCCGGTCTCGGCAGCCTCAGAGCCAGAATGCTTTGGGTTGGTGTCATCATGAAAGAGGCGGGGCCCATTGAGGCATCAGGAGAGTATGAATACATGCCAAAGGAGTTTGATGGTGTTAATGAGCCCATTGATCCGTGATGTGCCATGTTCATGTCCATCATGTGCTCGTACTCGAAGCCGAGTTGCTCTCGCTTCATGGGGGTGTTGGGGAGAGAGTCCGAGAATGAGATGTGCTCAGGCTCAGGCTTGACAGGGCCAAACATGAACTTGCCCATTGCTGATGAGGGAGGGGTCAGCTCCGCCCCCCGGTGGGAGACAGAGTTGTAAGGGCCATCAAAGTCCATGTTTCCGAATTCATGAGGTGTTGATCGTCGAGATGTAGGAGTGAATGGGTCGTAGGCTGATGAGGCGGAGGAGAAGCTTGTGGTGGTGGAAGGGCAGGACATGGGCTGACTGCAGAGGCTGAAGGAGTCGTCCATGTCGAACCGGTAATCCGACTCGAACTGCATCTTGAATATATGAGAGCAAGGAGTTTTAAAGAGAGAATGGATGGGGAAGGGATGAGATGTATGTGAATATGTCTTGAGTTGACCTTGAATGAAGGGTGAGAGTGTTCAAGGCTGGTCTCAAGAGGCTGTGAAGAACAATCAAGAGTTGAGTGAAGTTGTTCAGTTGTCTGGTGAGTGAGTCTGATCGGGAATGTTTTTTCATCTTTCGAGGACGGACGCCCTTGAAGATATAGAGATGAGGTGGAATGAGGTACGCAGCATCAGGCTGCGGGTCCTGAGACAGTCAAGCTGTTAACTCAACCACCCGTAGATCCTTGAACACAGCCGGTGCAGCTAGTAGGGAACCCGCGAGACACAGCTATGATCCAATACCCCCAGGGCAAGAATGCGAACAAGGGTGTCTAGAGAACTCGAGCAGCTCAGATCGAGATTGTTGCTTGAAGAGGAACAGTCCAGGTAGGGCGACGGGAGAGGCGTGATAGATCCACAGTTGAACGAGTGGGTTTATTGCTCGCATAGAGTGAGTGCAATGTTTTGGATGAAGTTGTGTCAGTTATGATCAAGCGTCCCTGGGGATGTTTCGCTCGGCCCTCAACGCCCTCAGCTGGACTAGTTGCCGACTAGTTAGTTATACAGCAGCAAGAGGAAGAGACCAATACAGACTTGGAACTTGATCCGAGAAGTTGAGTTTATGAAAGTGAAAGATGAAGAAATACTACACTGGCATTGAGTAATGCAGGACTCGGAGAATAGGGACAAAGTGAAGAACCAGAACAAAGGCACGTATAATGGCAGTCGAGAATATGCTTGAACCAAGGGTCGGCATATGGGGGGTGCGGTATGGACTAGGATGGGTGGGTGTGAGATTAGACCGCGTCCCTGACTCTGGGGCGGTTCCTCGCTCGAAGCCACAACTTTATAGACACCCCTGCAGCCGCCGAACCATGACCATGCTGCGGATCCCAGGGAAAAGAAAAGAAAAAGGGTGTGGGTGTGCGATCATGCATCAACTCCAACTCTCACTCTTCCATTACCTGAAAGACTCGAGGCGAACTTGAGTGGGTGACTATATCGGACCCTGCATGAGTGCACGAACATAACCCCCGGGGTGAGAAAAGGTGTCACTGACTGGACTGACTGACGCCAGCCCTCCATGTCCATCTCCATGTCCATGTCCATCTCCATAATCTATCCATCTCGCACATGGGCCACAGGACAGGGCCTACCTGTCAATGTCAATGTCCATGTCAAGGTGAGTATGGGTAAGCCACGCCCAGAGCGTGGGAGTTCTCTCTGAGGTAATTGTGTGGGTGCCCCAGATCTAGTGTAAGGATGTACGGATGTACGTACTTCCATATCGTCTCGGTCGGTCTCTTCTCACTCAGAAAACTGTTAGCTTTCTTGCCTCCGACAGTTATGGATATCATCACTAGGAATGATCAGGGCCTGGAATGGGAGAGAGTGGAAATGTCGCTCAGAAAGGCCGTCAAGTGAGACAGTGTCGCGTCGAGGGGACCCGAGCCAAGACCATCAGAAGGTTCATGTTCCTGAGCGTGCCTGGATGTGTTACCTCCTGGGCGAAACATGCCCCATCCGAAAGGTCTTTTTGGTTTCCCCATATCTCGACTCCCTTGAGACTGAACATACAGTAGTGTCGAGACTGTTCAAGACAAGACAAGACAAGACAAAAGAGCGGAACGATTTAGTGGGATATCTCTCACTCGAGAGTCAAAGTGAAGATGTGGGTCAGCAGGAGAGAAGGTTTAGCAAAGGCGTAGAGTGATTGAAGGTAATCTGGCACTATTCGTGAAAAGTAATCACAGGCGTGGTGCAGGTCTCACCCAAAACGAAAGGGACCTGCGGGTGTTCCTGGCGATGGATGGGGCATCACTGCAAGAACACGGGAACTGTGTGCTCGTATCCGCACATTACGGATAGAGTTGAGTGCAGAGAGTGAGTGAGTGTAAGGAGTAGACTGTAGGAGTAGGTCGAGTAGAGTTTCTTCGTGGACCCTGATCCGATAAACGTCTCAGAGTGTTGGTTTTTTTCGGCTGATGCTGACTCTGCAAACCAACGACAACCTGGTCTGGTCATACTGTGTCTGCCTGCCTACCTACCTACCTACCTACCTACAAACGGGAGGAAAACTCCATCAGAGGAGGGCTTCTTGTGATGTCATTGGACGGGAAGAAGAAGAAGAAGCTCTGTTGGTCGGTCTGCACATCCATCCACTCCAACCATCGGAAGGTCTGCTGCGGATGCAACTCCAACTGCACTGTAGAGCTGCAGAGTCGCATTGCAGCTTTACAAGGGTGGCATCGGCAATTGTTAAAGGTGTAAAGGTGCCGGGTGCTGGGTAACTCAGCCATGCCAGGCCAGACCAGACCCAAAGAAGAATGTAACGTCAGAGCGGCTAAACTCAAATCTCCATCATGATGGAAAAGGGCTCGAGTTGACCTCGAGAAAATGGAGATATCGGACGGTAGCGGAGCAACCACGGTATCTATCCTTACAGTCCATATGCATAGAATACAAATTAAGTTCCCATTGACAGGTGAGCGTGGTCAGTCAGCCTGGTTAGGGCCCCTGCTTCGCCTATCGTAACAGGAAAGGATAGGAAAGGAAATGCCTTGCCTGTCAAGTTTGCGCACTAAAACTACCTATTCTATTGTAGCCGCGCACGGTTCTCAATATGACAAAAGAGACAAGAGAGACTTGCCAAACTGACAGACACACACAAGAGAGAGAATGGAACAAAGGGCATCCGTTTCGCTTACAAGTGAGGAGCCTCGGCTGACACCTGAAAACTGAAAAACAGGACCGAACTCAACCGAATTCAACTGACTCTATTGATAGAGTTGAAACTCCTTGATCAAAGGAGTTGTTCAAGGAGAGGGAATATCGTCAATAGTGTGAGGCTGCCCTCGAATTCTTCATTTCAATGTCTCCGAGTTTATTATCCGTCGGCCATTGAATTATTCCTGCTGAGGAGGGGTCAAATCGAGTCGAGTTGGGTTGAGTGACCCCTCTTACTACCCCATCATCTTAGCTCTGCTTGGCTCATCGAGTCAAACCGAGGCGCACTATACTCTTGCTCCCTTACTGGTAGTAGGTAGCCCCAGTGAAAACGCGACCTGGACGCGTTCCCAGGCGTGATAAGGGAAGCTGGGACACTGAAGTCATAACAAAGGGAATGGAAAAGTTAGTGCATCGCGCAACTCTCTGGTGCAAGCACTAACGCGAGGCTCGGGACGGTAGCTGCGGGGCCCGCACCCACTAGGTATCGCTCGCTACAATAGGGACCTTACAGTGATTGCCTAGATACAGGGCACCTCAGATAAGAGCGCACTGCCTTTAGCCAGTGTCAGCTCTCAAAGCGTTCCTAGTGCCGGGCGATCTTCCCGGGGAGCGACCCAGCGATCCTCCCAAGAAATCAAATCTAGGAACGGAGAGGGGACAGGGGCCTCTCAGTGGAGGGAGCCATTGGAGGGAGAGGCTGTTTGGCGCTGGCGCTGGCGTTGGCGTTGGCGCTGGTGTTCTTTCATAGATCTGACTTTTTCTTCTTCTAATCCCCACTGTAAATCAGTCCAGGTTAGACCTGTCGGCGCGGTAGCATTACACGCCCCCCCTTCTTGCAATGTAATGCACTCACACATACATTGCTGAAGGCTGGTAAGACACCTGAGATGGGCTGGGCAGGGTTTTTCAGTTTGGTGATATATCGTTTTTTTTACTCTCTCTTTCGTTTCTTTCTGTTCTGCTCTCACTTTGGAAAATGTGCAGCAACTCAACCTAAAGTAGGTAAGGTACCTAGTCGAAATGGATGATGTGAGCCCGAGTTACTAACGCGATACGCAATGCCCTTGTTTGCTAAACGAACGGAAGATGCCAGAGTACTGACTGCCCATAAGATTTCACCATCATTGCCCTTGCAGTGTCTGAAGCGGATGTAAGTAGAGTCTCGGCCTTAATGAGAAACAGAGTGTTCATCATCATTTCTACTATACATATGCATCCCATGTTAAGAAAACGGTGCAGTATTGGACAGTGAACGAATAGTGCGTGCAGCTCGTAGCATCATCTCATCTCATCTCATTTACACCATGTACAGGGCCATTTCAACTGCATACCCGGCATCTGCAGTTCTTTCGTCATACGGCATCGTAAGTTGCTTTTTTCGTCCTGTCTCTTTGCCAGGCCCTGCTCTGTCCTGCCCTGTCCTGAGCTGAACTGGGCTGGTCATACCGAGCAGCGTAGCATCTCATACGGGCCCCCGACGGGAATCCGAGTGCTCCCATGTTCCTATCCACTTCTTCCCGTGCCTAGCCTCTGTCTAACTCAGGCCCAGGGGCCAAGAGAGTGAGAGTCTGAAAGAGGGGAGCACTTTAGGCACGCGTACCAGGTTTTCCCCTGCTTCCCGTCTCCGCTGACTCAAGAGCTGAAGAGTCGAGGCCCGTGATCTGACAAACAAAGAGCTCCTCCTCAGCTTACATACACAGATGGGAATGGATCACGGAAGAGGCCCCTCCCCCCGCCGAGGAAAGGCCAAGCCCGTTATCCCAAAGGTAGATCCATCCCCGGCCCGGCTTTCCAGCGCCGTTGCTCCCGTAAAATATACGAGCTCCCAAAAGTAAAAATAAAAAAACACTATGTGCTGTGCCAAGATGCTAGTATATGAGAAGGATTTTCGTACTGTCTCGTGTGGTGCGAGAATGACCAAGAATGAGAATGCTGAATTTCCCTTATGATAGACCGTGGAGCAGATCTGCTGTTGGAGCTTCTTCTTCATCTCTCATTATGGCATCATAGATTTATAACCTCATAGTCTCACCTGAGCTGCGGGCACACTTCCGCAGGTTATCCTACCAATCAGAGTCTTGAGTGTCATACCAAGCGCCACAAGTCCCAGCAGCTGTCGAGACCTTGTGTTGGGGCTCTAAGTGATCTATCATAAAATGCTGCCCACTCTGCATACTCCATAGAGGATGGTCTAATCAGACAAAAAGTGGTCTTGCGCAGTAAAATCCTTCTCCACGCACTCGCCGGCGTCCCTCTGGGCTAGTGCCCTTGATGTACAGTTGGATTCCTTGGTTGGCAATGCCATATGCGAACACTAGGAGGCCCAATTGGGTGCACGATGTTCCCTTGTGTAGAGCTCTTTGCAGGCACGGGGCCCAGGAATTGCCGGATTGACTTGGGGACTATCACTATCACCAACTTATCAACCTGTCAACTTGCCTTGGCCGCATCCCTTGACTCCCGTATCGAGTAGACGATGTTACATCTGCGGCCCATTTGGTGTTTGTCTCCCTCTGTTTACGGTAATCATACGCTATTGTCCTTACCCTCCCTGGTTGACAATCTATCTATCAGGCTAGTTATCAGACGATTGTAGCAGTATACCACGCACACTACTGTACCTCGATCCATAAGGAGAATAACGCTTCGTGTCTTGGCTGACTGACTTTGTGTAGCCATGTCAAGATTGCCTGCTGTGGCTGTTATTGTGGCTCTCGGTGGCTGCAACAAGGTAATTCAACTGGCAGTGGATTAATAACGCCAACATATTTTGTCAGTACTGAGAAATTATTGACGGGCCCGTACTCTTGCCGACGGCAAACTGGTCATGTCCACATCTGGTTCTCACTGTGACGGGACCGTGGGCGAGCGAAACCACTCTCAACTCATCCAATACAATGCTTGGAGGAGACCGGCAGCGTTGGTTGGAGTGGGGGACTCGGCCGGCCGGGGTCTACGGCTTCTGGGCCACCGGTCCCGAAGCTGTCAGTCTCCGCTGACATAGTTACCTTAGCTTCTGTAAACTAGTTATTGGTATTCTGCCCTACATTGATCTATGTGAAGAATGTCATCCAAACTCGGTGGTATATGTTAGTGCTCTCTATTTGGATAGCTTTCAGTCCCTTGAGTATTCGTGGTCCACTTCCCTCGGTTCTCTGCCCAGCCTATATATCATACCAGGTGAGCCCAGGCTCCATGAGATCGCCGATGCACTCTACTTTTCACGATGCGAGACCGAAATGCCATATGGTACTGGCACTGCAGGGTTTTACTTTTTTGTTTCCTTGGGCTTGGGGTGCTCTGTGCTACCCCCCCCCCCCCCCCCAGATCGAAGTTACACCGCAGCCGCTGTTACACCCGCCGTGAATCTCCCGCCAACTAGGTTTGTGATCTGACGGACGGCGGGCGGGAGAAGATCACTATACTGGGGATAGTCAGGGGTCCGGAAAGCCAGATTTCAGGGCCTGCTCCCTGTAGCAGTTCCTGTTCCTGTTCCATTTTAGAGATTCTGGTCTCCCGAAACCTTGGCCCTGCGTCATCTGCATAATCTGCGGCTGCGTCTGCATCTGCGTCTGCATCTGCATCTGCAGCATGAGAGGCACGTCAGGGTATAATTAATTGGCCCTGATACTGAGACCGAGACCGAGATTGAGACTCTTACACAGCATAAAGCAAGGTACGGAGGTTTTCACCCGCCACAGACCAATCTGCGTTACTCCGTATTCTTTTTTTAATATTCCCTGACTCTCTCCCTCAGGATACTACCTTTGCCAATAGGTGTCATTGACTCTCTTTCGCTACCGTTTCTCGCCTCTTGACGAGACGGTCATGCTTACGGTGACATTCGCATATCAATAGCACCGGAATGCAGGCTCAAAACGACCGTTTTGACCGTTGGTAGCGCGTGGCATTGCTTAACATACGTCGGACCGGCAGCTAGTGGACGGTGACGCAGCCTCAAAATAACATCGATCTTTTTTTTTCTCACGGTGAAAGGCACAACAATTGCATTGCCCTAGACTGTTGTTTTGGCGGCAAAGCTATTATCCAGTGGCCAGATCTTGTGGATTCGCGGGAAGCCAGTGATAGAGTTTCGCCCAGAACCGGAGCCGTGGTTACGCTTGGCTGTATTAGGTCACTATCCACGACTTCCATTCCCTAAATGGAGTTTAGCTACCCGCGGCCTAGTAAATACCTCTCGCTAAAAGGATTAACAGTTTCCACGGAGCCCCTCGATTTCACGATATTGACATTTTCGATTTTGATTTATGCAGCTCATGACTCTTGACCATGGCCTCCCAAACACTAATCCTCGATATTTCATGTTCTAGAATGCGCCTCCTTCAGTTGACGCGATCGATCGATCAGTAGGAGATTTATTCTACCAATGAGGCTATAGAACATGTAGGGTAACTCAGGGCTTAGGTTGGTTTCAAGTACCCAACTGCCTTACACTTCGTAGGGCGTATGTTAAAACAGATAAATCTCTTCTGGGCTAAATCGTCCCATACGTTTGGGCTTGGGTCAGTAGTTTACAAGACTTTTGTCATCGGTGACCTCGTTGGTGACATAATATTGTTTGACTTACTCAGTATGTGCTATGTCAGTCACCGCGCCACGACGACACCTGACACGGCTCGCGATAAGGCGAGGCGAGATGAGGCCAGACCATCCAGATCCAGACTCGACTCGAGACCATTGAGCGACCGTGGGATTCTGCAGTCGAAGGGCGAAATAAGCATATCTGACGTCTTTCGGACAATAAACAAACATGGGGAAGTTTGTAAATTGGATGGAAATACCGTCAAACGTGGCTGTCAAAAGAGTTGCAGATTCTATCTATAGCAAAAGCCGTTATGAAGCCACTTTGTTTCGTTTCAACATGGCAATCTAAACAATCGCAGCCCTGTATGATGATCCACGAAACTCAATCTATGCATATTGGACCCTACTTTTTCTTTACTTTCTTAGTAAACAACAGCCTCTGCTTCAGCTTTCGATCTCAGTATATTCTCTCGATCTTCGGCGGGTGTGGCATACTACCTGACTTTACGACAAGCTGTCACTCTCCAGCCGTAAAGAGGATACGCGGTCACCCGGTCGCTTCCCACGCCCTCAGAGTGGACATTGCGATAGTCTTACGTTTAGAATGTCACTGCAAGGCTGGAGTACCCGTCTGTCGTGGTTCGGTTCCGAATTCCCTAGATAGGCCCACGCGCGCTTACGCGTAGAAGGGAAGCGAACCAACAACAGTGACACCTTTCCGATCAGCTACATCGTCAAAGCGCGGACAGAGAGCGGGACAGGGACGATATCTGAATACGCCCTCAATGAGTTAAGTGAAGTGACTTGATTAGGGTGACAGTGCATTAGTTTCGTCCCGTCTTACGATCGTCGATCTTATCCCCAACCTCGACAGCGCTTCACATCTAGGTTAGTTAGTGCTGTTGCTATCGAGAAAGAGATATCCCAAAGTTCTTGGTAAGAAACATCCCAAAGTGCAAAAGTCGTACGATTTCCCGATCGACAATGCTCTCCTTGCAGAGCTGCTGCTGTTCGGAAGAACGTGAAGCGAGACATGTTGGTAAGCTGCCCCAGAAGGATAGCTCGGCACGGTTGGTAGGTGACATCGTGGGTCTCAAGTCAGACGTTTCCCGTCAAGCGATATTGAATTTAGCATTCGCCTGTGAATCCATTCCAACTTATCGTATTCCCCAGGTGGCGATGGCACTTTGACGGGCATCCATTCGGCCTAGACGTACCGGGCCTCGATACTACCATGCGATGTAAGGAAAAGTCTCGAACATTCAACACCACACGTGAAATGCAACCATAGTGGTGATATTGGAAGTGAGGGGAATAGCAGAGAGTTGGGTCGAAACAAGCAAGCGAATAACTCTATTGAATGCTTCTCCGTTTACGGTTACATCCGAGATTCTAAGTTAATCCATCACTGCTTGCTCGGCGTCAGCCTCCATGTCCTGGAGGACTTCCTCCATCTCAGCTTCTGTGGCCTCCAAACCCTCAGAGCTCATGAGCTTGTTGTCCTTGTCCTCAGCTGTGCAGGGGTGGGTTGATTAGCGTGTCGATCACCTCTAGGGTAGGGAAACGGGAACTCACTTCGAGCTTCAACGAGCAGATTCTCCTGGACCTCACAGTCGGTCAAAACAGATCCATCTCCGATGACTGCTCTCTTTCCAATAATACAACGTGTCAGCTTGCATGCCTTTCCAACAACAACTCCTTCCATCAGTAGACACTGAGAGAGCTTGGCACCCTCGTTGATCTGCGAACCGGCGCCGATCACAGTCTCTTTGATAGAGGTCTTCTCCTCCACAGTGACATTTTCCGCAATGAGGCTGTCCTTTTGTGTGATTGTCGTGCGTGCTTTAACGCCTTCAGGGTAAGCGATCTTCTTTGCATGTGCATATGGTGATGGTGACTCTCCGCCTGTCTCTTCGAGTGATGGAAGCTTGGCTAGCTGAAGTGAGATAGCGAGCAACAGCTGTGCCGTGTCCACACGACGAATCAAAGGAGCTGAGCTCCCGCCCGGGTGGACATAGGCAACGATCGGCGGGACTTGGAACGATTTCGACTTCTCGGCAGCTGATGGTTCGTCATCAACTGCAATACTCGGCACTGATGTCTCGGCAGTCGTGTCTCCGTGTGAGTTCCAATCACTTTGGATGTTATCTGGTGTGGAAACTCGGGAAGGCGAGCTGGGTCGTTCATCGTCCTTGGTCTCCTCAACCCGACCTTGGGCACAGGCACTCTCCAGCTTCAGTTTTTCGGCAAGACCGGATTGCCAGCCAGCCTTCGCCCACCATCCGACAACATCCTCACCAATACTCTCCATTCGCTCGTTATCCTTGACAAAATCGAGAACCCATCGAGGGAAGATGTAGATGTGGGCATCTCGGTGTGTCGTGAACATTCGTACACGAGAATGAGCACGCAACAAGCCGTGTCGAATGGGAAGTGAGCCCTTGTCTTCTGTCAAATCTCTCAAGGAGTCGGTTGGCATGGAGTACACCAGCTTTGACAAGTTTGAGAAGAGAGATCCCTTTGATGGTGTAACAGGAGATGAAGGCAATGGGGTTGTCGCAATGAAGTCTGTCTCCTCCTTCTTGATAGGTGCAACTGCCTTTGTGTCGTACCAAACGCCAAGTGCGCCGCTGTGAACTGATCGATGGCCATTGGAAAGTCTGGCAGTTCCAAGCATGTCTGTCAGACTAGCTGACTTGACCATCCATGATTGTAGAAGCTTGTCTCCTCCAAGTTCGCAGACCAAGTCACAAGGGAGTACTACAAAGTCACCAGTGATAATCTTCCTAATCTCTGGCAGTCGTAGGATCTCAGCAGTGCCTGTGTTTTGATCAAGATCTACTGGTGAGAGAATGTCGGGTCGCGGCAAAGGCAGCGCAGTTAGATGAAGGTTAGTGTTCAGAGCAGTTGAGATAGCTTCGGATGCTGTAGGAGGACAGACAAGATTTATGTCTAGTAGTTATCAGTATGTATCCTTTCATAATTGGAGAGTGAGGAGATATCTACGGATATACTCAATGAGTCACCCTATAGCACCAAACTTGACTGACCTGTGATGCCCATTCGATAGCAGAAATCAAGCGCGTACCAGACCATAGGTCGGTTTGCAATAGGGAGGAGGGCCTTGGGGCTCTCATCGGGGTTAGAGGTGAATGTTGGGAATGACGAGCCAGGCCCGCAAAGAATAAGGGCTTGAAGCCCAGTTGACGGCATTGATACAGCGTGGGGCATAACACCGCGGGGTTCCTTGTTGATTTACTGATACAAAGGTGAAAGATCTGAGACAGAGTCAACTTTTGGTAGAAGTCCGTTGTGGCCTCAGTCTGTGGGTTGGTTTGTTAATGCCAACGTGAGGGCCGTGGTTGCTGTATGAAGCCAAATATGAAGTGAAGAGTCACTCAAATCCATTGCCAAGACATCAAAAATGTACGTTCGTGGGGTGCTGTCCCGCCTGTGGCTGCAGCTGTGGCTGTCGTCACGCACAGCCACATCTTATCCCACACGGATTCACGTGGACGGACTGGGCCCGACCTCGGTACGGATTATTGGATAGTCCCCCGCAATTGAGCCCCTGAAACGCTGCGCTGAGCTCTTTGTCGGCCCTCGGGCTGCTGACCCCGTTGTTGCTGGGGGTAGATGGCCTCAGCTCCACTGGCTTGTTGATGCCGATTACACCAACCACCGCGTATCGACAAGAATCGGATCTGGCCCCAGGCTTCGCTACTTTAACGGCTGCACCAATATCACGCAATTGCTCAAGAGCCACAAACTCACGACACTCGAATTGCACGAAAAGGCCCTTTGCGCCTACTGCTATTGGCGTCATCACCTCCACCTAGCAATGCGACAGTGCGCCGCGTAAATGTCGCCCGATCACGGATCGTCGCGGTCGCGACGGGGAGTTTGGAGCCACTGGGTCCCTCTCGCAGTTACACTTACAGTTGCTACTGTGGGCGTGGCTGCTTGGGTATGGAGCCAGCGAAAAGACGGAGATGATGAAGACGACCACTACGGCTTAGACTACGGCAATCAAGCTCGCGCAGGTGATAATCAAACCCACGGTTCCCGAGATATCAATTCGCGCGATATTCAGGGCCCCGAGAAGCCACCACGACCTGATGGCCAGAGCCATGGAATTGCGCCCGCGGACGAAGATGCGGCCGGCGGAGGCTGGGGCTCGCGCATGTCTGGTGCTCTACGGCGAACACCGAGCCCGCAGCAGTTCTTTGACTCGACAGGTAAGACTGTGGCGGCTGGTGTCGCAGCTGCGAGTGCAGCTATGGGCAAGGCTTTGGCTAGCATTCGCGAGGAGGACAAGAGCCCCTTTGACGATACCAACCCCTGGCAAGAGGAAGCAGATGCTAAGAAAGAACGAGCGCCCGCCGATACGTCGTCACCACTCGTCGGCGGCAATAGGCGACGCAAGACGGTTGCGATTGTGGTGTCTGCCGAGACAGGCGCCGTGCCTGAAGAGGAGGATTCGTTCCACGAGCACGCTGTAAGTTGACCAGACTGTTCTCCGAGGCCGCGCACTAACACGCTCCAGTCTATCCTCTCCCACATCCCTCGAAACATCGATCACTCCAAGGTTAAGCTATTTGTTCTGATTTACGCTCCTGGTTTGAAGGAATCTACTATGGATACTGCTACTAGTAACCTTCCGCCAACTTCGCTGAGCTCTTCATTTTCTAACATTGGACACGATCAAGTTCAAACCCCAGCTGAAGAGTCAAAGAACCAGCTGTATGCTTTAATTTACGCTGTCGAATCGTACTGTTGCTGACAACTCGTAGTGAATCCGCAAGCCCTTCTTTTAACTCTATCTACTCACAGGCTCTAAGTTTGGTCGAAAAGGAGACAATGGTTCTCCCTTTCACTACACCCAACGGCCACGTTCATATCCTGCGACACCTCCAGCCAGAAGTCATCTACCTCCAGAAGGCTCTCTCTGGTCAGGATGGCAGCATCATCACCACCCTCCAGACCTGGCTTCGACATGACGTCATTCTGGTTGTTGGAGCTGATGGTGGCTCTGGTGGATTGGCAGATAGCGAGTCTGAAGCTGAGAGGGCTGGAAAGAGCCAAGAATGGTGGCAGCGCCCTGAAAGAGTTGGACGAGGACGTGGAGTTGTGGTTGTCGATAGTATGAGGCTGAATGATGATTGGGCGCGTCGAGTTCAGGGCCAGGAGTGAGACTAACGCGTCTTGCGCAATCTGGCACGAGATACCATGACCTTTGAACTTTAGTATATGCTATTAAGGGTTATTTACAGACACGAGCACGCGTGTATTTATTCAATTATTTCATCTACCTTGTTTAGAAGATATTGAATTTTGTGTGTAAACCTTTTATGCCTCTTGCTTTTGCGACGATGCGCTTGTTCACGCCTCGTCACGTGATGTGAACTTCCGTAATCGAGCCGACTTCATCCAAGGGAATGCTCCCGTGATACGGCGACAAGGCGTGAACCATCATCGAATTAATATCCGACCCCAGACACCACGCAACAAAACCTACAAAGAAATCGACGGCTCTGTTCTATTTGAAAAACCTCTCATGGACCATTTTCTTTGTTCTCGATTTGCGGTTCTTTGAGATACTCGCGCCCCTAACGTGAGACTGCCGCGGTCAACTCCGCATCATCCATCAAGTCAACGTGCGACCAGCCTATTCTCATCAAATCAACCTTGAATCCCGCATCGTGCCGTTTCGCTCATAATATCCATGTTTGCGACCTAAGCAAATATTCCACCAAAGTCGAGCGGACCACATCGGCCGAGATATCGTCATAACCGCTAGCCCCCGCGGCGCAGCGCGACCACAACACGATGGCGCCAGTTGGACCTATAGTCCATCAAAATGTCGCCAACAAAGTGAAGCGCCCAGTACCTCCTGGTATCCAGACGAATGGCGCTATAACATCCTCAAAATCATCCCCATCCCCATCAATGTCGGCAAAGAAACCTCCGCCGAGTGCCAAGCAACCGCCACATTCGGCGAGCGACAGGGCCATTACCGCATCAACCGTCCGACCTGTCAACAGAGCCCGACGAGAAACCGCATCGCAGTTGCAGGGCCGGCACTCTAGGAATAGTGCTGGCCTACGATCAGCGTCATTAGCGGCAGACCACTCTGGCCACGACGCGGAACCTCGACCCTATAGTATGCGATGTTCTGACTTATCGTGTTGTTGCGTATACACTAACAGTAATGAAGTTGTTACAGACTCCTATATCCTGAACAAATTTGCCGGCCGACCTCCCTCTCTTGTCTGCCATCTACACACAACACATTTCCGATTCGATAATCAAGATGGCGTGTTTCCGTACAAGTCACCGATGAAAATATTCCTCGATCACGTCAGAAGCCGGACGATCCCCCATGATCTTCTTTCCTACTTCACCGATGCCGGTGTGCCCTTCTATGATGGATGTCTCATTGTTCAAGTTCACGACCACAAGTCTCTTGCGCAAGCGAAGAACGTTGCCAAACCCACAAAAGGAAAGGGTTCCATGATGCCGTCTTCCATCCATAACTATAACCAATGTCTCACACCATCGCCGAATGTTCCTTTTCCTAAAGAGAATTTGTCAAATGGAGATGGAAGCTCAAAAGGGAATGATGTGGCTGAAAAAGAAAATGCCCCCGTCATGCCAGCGCCTGAGGAGCAAAAGGACAGGGCGACCAAACCACGGGTCTTTACCATGGTGCTCCATCCGACGGCCGAAAGTTTACAGATGGACCTGTTAATAAAAGCTTCCACCCCGCGAGGACTGGGTGATGGCCTTGGCCAACCCCCGTCCACACCAATGTCACTTATTCCCCCGACACCTACAGCTGGTACCATGCCGCCACCCGCAAAGCGCCAGAAACGTGAAAAGACAGAGCTCGACAGCAGCAATATTCATGCTGCAGAGGGGCAGATCCTGTTGGCAACAAACGCGCCATTGGTGCTTGAGCCTACTAAGAACCTTGAAGAAACAATTATCCTAATGGAGGCAATGAGTCACCCCAAGCATGCAGAGGCTCCACCTCAACCCAAAACACGCAAACGAACTGTTGCCGAGATGGCTGCGGACGAAGCCGCTGCTGCAGAGACAGAACGCTTCATGCTGGTTGCCGACGAGCGTCTTGCACCAAATGCGAATGGAGCGCAGAACGGTGGCACAGCCGATGGCGATGCCTCAGGCGGTGCATCAGCATTCGAGCCTCGATTCGAGCGATTTAAGGTTTTGGCTGAGATCAGTCGAGAACATGCCGAGAAGAAGGAACAAGAGAAGCTCAAGCAGCTGGAGAATGACAGGAAATTGCAACAAGCGAAACAGCAACAGCAGCAAGATGCGGTTGCGCTGGCTCAGAAACAAAACGCTGAACAAGAAAGACTCCGACGGGAGGCCGCTGCGAGAGAAGCCCAGATGCGACAGGCAGAAGCTCAACGACAAGCTCAAGCTCGCGCCCAAGCGGCGAATCAGAACAGCCAGAACAACCAAAATGCTCAGAGAGTCAACGGGAGCCAACCACAACACGGACATCCTCAGAACAATGTCGTCACCAACGGAGTCAATAACGCAGCTGTGGGAACGCCTCAAATAGCTAATAATATGCCTCCGCAAGCACAACCCCGCTTCCAGGCTCAGATTACTCAACCACCGGCGTCTTCTCCAGTTGCTGGCCAAGGTACACCTCAGCATATGTCGTCTCCTATGGTTGCCAGTGTCCCAATGCAACAGACCAACTCTGGGATGGCAAACAGCCCCCCTCGGCCGTCTTCTGTCGTGCAAAATGCCGCAGCAATGTCTGTCCCTATGGCTCATAACATGTCTTCCAGGGGCAGCCAACAGAGCCATCCCTCCGGCACACCAAGAATGCCTCATTCAACGCCCAACATGGCACAAGGTACTCCGATCAACAGGCCTGCCATGGTGGCAACCCCTCGCATGAGCCAGGCAAGCCCTCCACCAGCTATGATGGCACAGAACTCGCAGCCAGGTCAAGGCATGATGATGAATGGCCAGGGCATGAACCAAATGAACCCACAATATGCGGCTCAATTGGCACAACAACGTGCTGTGCAGCAACAGCAGCAGATGGCCATGCAAAACGGTCTTAACAGTGGCAACATGAGCCATATGAGCCCTCAGCAACAACAGCAGATGATGCAAGCAATGCAAAGGCAACTGATGGCTACGCAACAGGCACAGCAGCAGGGTAATATGATAAGCCCTCAACAGCAGCAGCAGTTGGCGGCTCAATATGCTCAGCAAATGCAGAACATGTCGGGCAACCAGATACGACAGTTCACCCCTCAAATGCAGGCACAGTTCCAACAGATGATGCGCATGAACCAAGTTAATGGCCAGATGGGCAATAGTCCTATGCAGCGTCAAGTCAGCGGACAGATGATGCCCAACGGCATGAACCTGCAAGCTTTCCAGGCGATGCAGCAGCAACGGCAGCAGCAGGCCCAACAACAGGGCAACATGATGAGCCCTCAGCAGCAGCAACAAGTCCAGCAGCAGCAGGCTCAACAACAAATGGGGCAGATGGGACAACAAAATCCAATTCAAGCGCAAATGCAACAACAGGCCAGACTGCTTTTCAGTAGGATGATGCCAGCAGTAGCTCAGAAGTATGGTGGCCAAGAACATATTCCGCCAGACGTGATCGAGAAAATGAAGACGCAGAGCATGGGACAAGCTCAGAACCTAATGCAAGCGTCAATGGCGCAGCGCCGACAGCAACAGCAGATGATGCAGCAGCAGCAACAGCAGCAACAGCAGCAACAACAGATGCACCAACAGCAGATGCAACAGCAGCAGATGCAACAGATGCAGCAAATGCAGGGGATGAATGGAATGATGGGTGGTCCCCAGGGGATGTGATGTCGCGAACGAGACCTGACAAGATAATAGTGGGCAGAATTAATGTCACGGCAGACAGGAGCAGAGGATGAACCAGGTGGTTGATCATCAAAGGAGTTCAGGCAGGACCAGCATGTTATTTTTATACGGTTTATGAGTTTGGGCAGATTTATACCCCGAGGAAAGTTTTCAGTCCAGGTTCAAGGGTTTCTTATGCGTTTGGCTGTTTGGTTCTGGACAATGTGATGCAGTGACAGATGTCGCTGTTCTTGGTGTTACGGCTCAGGTTGGAAGAAAGTATCGATTTATTGTAACATCATGAGGGATGGTCTATTGTAGCGTTCTCTCTTTTACGAAGCCTGAGAATTGACCACGAATAAAAAGAAAAGAATTATACTACCCCGGGATTATAATGATATTGCCATGTGGTCTAGCTGGGTGACTTGTTGAGCTCCAGAGACTGTCACGTGCTTGTGGAACTGGGCTCCTACCTTTGGGCGCAATGACACAACCGCCAAGACGACAGGAGCTTCATATGACGCTAGCAAACCCGCGATAGCTCAAGGCAACGTGACCAATCCATCACATCACACAGCACAGCACAGCACAGCACAGTTTGACTGCTTATTCTAGGCACGCGCTCGTAATCTGATCTATCGAGTCTCTTCTTTCTTTTAAGCTTACACGGCCCTTTCCGATACTACCACTCCATCCGTAATTTCATCTCCATACTAGCGCTGGCAACCACCTCTTTTTTATCAAACTTCTGCGTTCTTCTATCAAGGTCTTCTCGATGCATCGGCCGGATCTGTTGGCTTTTCTACTGCCTCTGCTGGCAGCTCCAGTTTTCGCCGCGGAAACTCTAGACTGCGGAAAGATTCGCGCAGATGGCCATACTTTTGATCTTTCTAAGCTTGGTGGACCTCATTCGGTCCTGACGACGCGATTCAAGCCCAGTCCTCCCGAACATTACAACACAACTTATACGTTAGATATCTGCAAGCCTTTGAAGAAGAAGGGTGGCAAGAAGGATGAAGAATGTCCAAACGGCACTCGAGGTGCGTACAAGATCTACAAGCGCTAATCGAGTCTGACTAACAAATCCAGTTTGCGGTATTACACACCTTCTCAAGTCTGGCGAGAAGGAGACAGATGAGATTACGAATGTCATCGCGATCGCAGGAAATCTCGAAAACGTTGGCGGCTCTCGATTCGATGCTACACCCACGCGACTCAAGACAAGCGACTCAACCTCCGATAAGGATAAAGAGGGCGTACGACTAGTCCTTACAGGAGGCAAAGATCCTCTCAAGGGCGATATCAAGAAGACC